CTTGGCTAACGCCAAATATAACGCGTTAAGAAGATCATTAACCACGAGATTCAATCGATGACCAGCACACAGAATCTTAAGAACATTATCATTAAATTTATTTACTGCAGAGAAAATATTTGCACCTGAGTCAGTAACCAGTGCAAAAATCCTATTATTGATTGACCATTAACTGAAGATTTCGTTTAACGTATTAAATAAATATTCAGCTGTTTTTATTTCAGACATAAACTTAAGATCCAGGTTTCGGTCAACTAGAGTCATATTTTTGTCAATAAAATGACAAGTCACACCGAGGTAGCTGTTTTTACCCATTGATGTCCAACTATCACAAATAATCGTAATGAAATGACATCCCTTCAATTCTAGCATTAAATTTGAATTAAGATTGTCCGTAATTGATGGAATTAATTTCTTGCTCACCGTATTTATGCATGGTAATTTGTAGCTTTTGTTTAACTCACTAACTAAATTTACAAAATCTGGATGACCTACTATCGAAGTCAGCTGATCGGTACCAACAATAAAATTCACCAATAATTTGTTTAATTTTTTATGTCCAGTCTTTTCAAAACCATTCTCATTACCGCTCTCAATATCGGATATATCGTCATCGTTGAGTAAAGTTGTTGATTTTTTTAGATATTTTAGAATTAATACAATGATCAGTTGATAAACGGGATTGCATTAAACTGGTCAAATTGTTGTATGGTAAAATCTTATAACATATGCTGCATTTTGTTTGATTATTTTGGTCCATTTCGAAATATGTCCAAACGAAGCTTTGTTTTCTTATTCTTTTCTTAATAACGAATTTATTTGTTTTTGACATTGTTTATTCAAACTAAAGAGCGAGTAGTTTTTTTAATTGTTCATATGTAACAAATATTAACAAATTAGTAACTTATTTTAAAATAAATTTGTACCACATGTTACTTCATTTACGCACCGAGATATTAATGAGATTGTTGTAACTTTAATATAAAGTTATATTTTTTTTAGAGTTATGTAACACAAAAATCGAAAAGGCATAAATCGATTTGAAACCGTCGTAAATCTCTAAATAACCACTAAAGTGTAATTAGCCGTTTACATTGCAACAATGATTTCATTTCATGCATTTAAGGCTTCAAGGGAATTGCCGTTGAGGAATAATAATAACTTACGTTCGTGCTGTGAACTAGGCATTCTAAGAAGGGAGTGTCAAAATTCTATATTTCTTGTTTAACCAGTTAATCTTTATTAGATTTTAGAGAAAAATTCGAAAAACAATTTAGTTTTTACTAATTTTTTGAGGCTGACCTTCTACTTTATTTTTAAAAATTTACAGACATTAAAATAAAATTCTTTACAGACTCTGTGTGCCTAAAGTTACTTAACTTTTCTTTCAAACTTACGCTATTCAAATTTAGATGGATGAATTTGATTTTTATTCATTGTGTTTTCGAAATAAAAAAAGTGTTTTCAAAAAGAAAATTTTCATGTAATCAAAACGACAGGCAAAAAAACTTTTTATTTATTTTTTTAACGCTATTCAAGCCATCAAAAAGGCTATTCAAGTTTTCGATGAGAGTAAATTCCTAAAAATAATTTTATAAGGAGAAGATAATGTTTATCCCACGCAGCAGATGTCCATGGAATATCAATGAACTGTAACTAATAACAACAACTTCGTATAAAGATAAACAAATTCCTTAAGAAAGTTTACTTGTAGTTGATAAATGTTATAACATTTATCAACTACAAGTAAAATATACAAATATAACAATATATTGTTATATTTGCAACACCAATTAAGAACTTTGAGCTAAAAACCAAGGCCCCAAAATTTAAAAAAATCTGTTACTAAAAATAAAAAAGCTCCCCAAATTCGGTGAAAGACCCTCAAAAATTTGAAAAAGAGCCCCTAAATGTGTCCCCCCCCCCTAATTAAGGGAGGAGCGTGGGGAGCCTATCCACGGCTCTGAGTATATCCTTGCTTTTTTGGTAGCAGTTTCTTTTAAAAAGTAGCAAAAATAGTACTATTTTCTATATATTTAGTGTTTTATTAAAGTTAATAATTTTATTTTATTTCATTTTAATCACCTGTGATGTCACAAATTTGTAAACCCTCTTCCACCCCCCGCTTACAAAGTGTCAAAAAATCTGAAACCCCGCTAGGCCTAAATATGTGAGTTGAATTGCGAACGACCTCTGAGTTATTTTTAAAATAATTGCAGATTTTCTATAAAATAGTTGGTGGTAGTTAAACTTTTGCTTCGAAACCCGTGTTGTCAACCCTGAAAGAAACACGATTTTTACTGTTGAAAAAAATATATTTCATGGTTAATTATTAACAGCATTAAAGTTAACAAATAATTAATTATTTGTTAACATTAACGATGTTAATAATTAACTAAAAATCAAGACAACTCAAAAAAAGTTTTCGGACTATAATTTTTATTTGTTTAATTCAGTCCGCAAGGGGTAATGAAGTGAATCTTGTTACTACAGAGGTTTTTTTTTTTGATATAAATGTTATGCAACAAACCAACTTTTAATAAGTAAAAAAATATTTTGTCTATCTCTGTGGTAAAATACTTTAATTTATTTCAATAGGTGTGAACTGTATAGAGAATCGACTCAAATTATTCTTCTAAAACATTTTTTTCTTATAGTTATACAAAACAAGGATATAATAAATAAACGTGATTTAATGTTCATTAAAGAAATTTTTGGATTACAACTCTTTATTACTGGTATAATTATTAAAATAATCCGAAAAAAAAGAAGAAGAAAAAAATTGCGGTTTTCTTATCATTTTAAATGTGAACAAAAATAATTATATAATATCCTGAGTAAAATTTATTTCAAAATTCTCGGATTTTAAATTTGCTTTTTAGTAGGAGTGCGACGCTCAGTCAGGGCCGCTGTAAGGTAGGAGAGGGGGGCAAAAGAGACAGATATCCAAGGGGCGCCTAATGAAAGGTACCTAAAAAAAGTCCTTCATCTATAATATACAGAAATTTTAATAAACGCTGTGGCTAAGCTACCCCACAGTCCTCAATTAGTATGGTGGAGGAGTAAATTTAGGGGCTGATTTACAAATTTAAGGAACTTTTTTTTTGAAATAATTACAGGTTTTGGTAGAGGAGAGAACTCTAACCCACTACCCACCGCTCTGTGGCCAGTTAATGCATTTCTTGTTTATTTATTTACTCTTTTTTTTATAATACCTGTGGCATTGAAATAAATTATTCAAGGCACTTTATTTATTGAAACAGACAAATTACAAAAATAAAATTAATTAATCTGAAATTTTCATTTCAGTTACAATAAATTATGAAATAGTGATTACATTGAAGCGTATTTTTTTTACGCGCGAAAGTTTTATACACGTTCGTAAACAAAAATTGCTTGACACTTTCATTTTTTAATTTCTTTTAATAAATAAAATTATTAATTTTAATGGAAAAAAACAAACAAACAATAAAACATAATTATTTTTATTAGAAAAGACACACATAAATGTAACTCTGATTGAAAAATTATTACATTCATTTTTAAATTCATAGTATTTAGTTTTTTTTGTAGTCAACAAATTTTGTTGACTACAAAATTTTGTCAACAAATTTTGTTGACTACAAATTTAATTCTTTTGTTACAAAAGAATTAAATGTTATTAAATTTAAAAAAAATTGTAGAGTAGCCTCAAATATTATTAAAGTTAAAAAATTTTGTAGAACAGATTCTCTACAATGTAAAAATGCTCTACAAAACTTTTAAAATATTTCAAAAGTATTTTAAAACCTTAGATATATTTAAAATTATATCGTTATATATTTAAAATATATGATTATAAATTTGAAACTAATAATGAGAATTTTAGATTTTAGTATTTAAAGTTGAAAATAGTAAAATTGATAAAAAGCATTTCGTTTGAAAGCTAAAATTAAATCTAAAATTACATATATTTGAGTTATTTGGTAGATTTTAACTCAGAATTGTTCATTTTAATCTGAATAATAATTAAGTTTGTTACATTTTATGTAAATTGTATATTTTTTGAATTAGTTTAATGAGTATTCACAATATAAAAACTTTCTAAATCATTTTTTTTTTAGTTTGGTTAGTTATTTTATTATAGTTAATTTTATCAGATGATGATTATTGTTTTTCATTTAAAAATGGGCTAACCTTAATTTTTTCAATTGTTTGTTATTTATCAGATAAGTTTATGTTTTATAGAATTGCTTTAATTGTTTCCTAAGGAGTTTTTGAATGAAGTTTTTTTGATACATAGTTTCAGACTATGTCATGGATTGATGGGTACTTTCCACATGGGTCCTCTATTCAGTTTTTATAAAGTGTTTTTACCAGTTGGCAGTGGCTTTTTAATTAGTATAGCCACTATCCTTATTTTAAAATAAAAAAATAAAAAACATTGAACTTTGGAATAGTAGTAATCTTTTAGTTTCTTTCAAATATTTTTAATTATTAAATTCTAAATTATAGTTGCCATTTAATATATTTTTAAAGTTAATGTTGACCTGCTGTATTATTCTCTGATTTAAAGTGACATATCTCTTTAAATGCAAAGTAATATAAACCTGGTCTTTTTTGTTAAACAAAAAAAGTATTTTCACAATAGCAACTTATTAGCAAGGTTGATAAAAGTCTTTGACATCAGGTAGAGTAAAGTATGCACCCTTGATCTTGAAATCCAGCAGAAAAAACAAACCAAATGAAAAATATATGAAAACCAAAATTATAAAACTAATTTCGAGTTATCTATATTTGTAGTTCTAATATACTTATATAAAGTTTTTTTGTTTTTATATTCAATATTAGTTCTACAATTATAATTAATTTTTATTAACCTAAGGCACACTGGATTATATATATATATATATATATATATATATATATATATATATATATATATATATATATATATATATATATATATAATACCTAAAAATAATTAACTTTATTAAATTACCTTTTGCAAATCTTTATTAGTGTCATAATTATGGTACTGTTTAATTCTGGAAAGTGGAAGAAAAAAGAAGAAGAAATGTATGATTTTGGTTTTTAATTAATGATTTATTTATGGTTTTATTAGTTTTTGTATGTGTTTATTTATTTTTTTATATTAGGTTTAAGTTGACAATGTTTTGAAATTCTTTTTTTTTATACAATGTTTCATCCTGGTCAGCCATTTCACATAATGCTAACATCTGTTTATTGTTGCAAGAAATTGATGTAAAAAGGTCCTGTCTGATGCTAAGCCATATAATTTTCAGTTCACTTACTCAAAGTTCTATCCTTTCTATCTTGAGGTTCTATCCTTGTTTCTTATCTACATTAATGATCTTCCCAACAATCTTTAATCTTAAGTAACTTTTTTTACTGATGACTCAACTTAATACTCCTGTCTTAAAAAAATATCTTTTCTTTTTGATCGCTTAGAACAGGGAGCCGATCTTGAATCTGATCTCACTTCTGTAACAGATTAAGGGCTTTCAGTGGTTTGTAAATTTTAACTTCAACAAAACTAAAAGTTATTTTCTGAAAACAAATACTGTTTTCATTTAAAAAAACATATACTGATCACAATACTGCTGACATATATATATATATATATTAATGAATGGCAACCCTCTAACTGAGTTCTCTTTTTTTACATCTTCTTGAATTATTGTTTACTACTGAACTTTCATGAAAACCATATATACAATTGATTGCCAAATTAGCATTTTCTTACTCCTGATTTCATTCTCTACCTGCATCTCTTTCTTTTTTCTACAAATACTATCATGGTTGTTGCTCAAAGAGAGCTTTCATCTCTAGTTCCATCATGTAAAACTCATTTTTGTTTGACTCAAGTCTTCTGTCACCTGTTTTCTTGCTTTTTAACTACATTTTTTTTTATATATATACTAACTTCCAAATTAATAGTGGTTGTTTAGAGCCTTGCTGGGAGTGAATCAGAATAAAAGACTTTATTGGATTACTGTAGTTAACACCTAATAAAGTTATATTTTTCGAAAAATTGCTATTCCTGCTTTTTTATAGTAAATACAATCCCTTCAGTAATTAAACCTACTTTCTGAATGTTCATTTTACTTTACCTAGTAATTTTCTGATTAGGGCCATATGTTCTATGTTGTATATCAAGTCTTTAGCTTGCAATTTTCTTGTCATATATATATCATAGCCATATGATGTTTTGATCTTAAAAATTTATATAAAAGTGTTTTAAAGTTTTATATAAAATAGTTTACAGTACAAAACCTTGTTTTAAAGTTAATGTAATTTTATTCTGTTAAGAAGCATTTAATGGTGTGTTACATGCAAATCTTGTTACAAAAAATATTTTAGCGTTTTGTTTTTTTTTCTCAATTTTTTTTTCTTTTCTAACTTAACATTTTTTGACCATTCTTAAAAGTATAATATGTTTTTGTCTAAGATTTTTATTAGGTTCATAAAGTATGTCATGCTAAATTTAACTTTTAACCTTTTATTTCCCAGTGATGCCATATGGAGTCATTGACTTAACATAGCAAAAATAGGTAGTATGCTAACCATGTGAAGGAAGTAACTGATTGTTTGCAAAAATTGTGTGAAAACACTACTTTTACTCATAAGCACAAAGGTTTCCCCCACATAGTTAGCATAATGCCTATTTTTTCTGTATAATGTCAATGACGCTTATGATGTCACTGGGAAATAAAGGGTTAAATAGAATTATATTCAAATGATCATACTTCTTTTGTGCTGATATTTTCATTCAACATCTTGATTTTGAATTTTGATTACTTTAAATCTATGCGTGGAAGCCAAAATTATCCTACTTCTATTTTAAAGTTTAATTTAGTGTGATTTAAGTAATGGACTTAATGAAATTACATCACATTAAATTTACCTATAAACTAAATCAAAACAACCAGTTAACTCAAGTTACTCAATTATTAAATTATTAAATTTACCTATAAACTAAATCAAAACAACCAGTTAACTTAAGTTACTCAATTATTATTACTATCTACTATTAGTTATTCAACTAAAAATTAGTTTTAAGTAATAAATGGTATAATTTTGCACATTTTAACTTCCAGTGTAATATCTGTCCACTTTTTTTATGCTATCTTTTTATCTCCAATTCTTCTGACTTTCACCATAACTTTATATTATATTATATTACTTTATATTACTTCGTTGTTCTTAAAACTCACTTTTTCTTGGTTTGTTGAAGCAGTTCATGATGCTCTTTAAAAAGCTAGTTGTGTCTTCGTCTTGGTTAACCACCTTGCCTTGGTTAGCCACAATACCAGGTACTTAACTATTAAATTTACTTAATATACTCAAAAACAAACTTGTTAATCATACAAACGTTTCTATTTATATCTTGTTACTATATATGTTGTTAACACTCAAGCTTCTAACTAAAAATTATTTTAACAAGAAATATTGAATAGAATATCAACAAACGTGATACCATTTAAAAAATATTTTTCATTTTATTTATAACAATATCAAGATTAAGCATTTTCTATAAATTCACAAGTTGTTTTAAAAAGAAATCTATTTGAACAAGAGAATTTTGACAAAAATAATCTTGAATTCAAAATAAAAAAAATATATATTTTTTTAAATTCAAATAAATTTTGACAATGGCTGAAAATAATTATAAATTTAATTGAATAAAACAACAGCCATGTACTGTGTCGTAGCACAGATAGTTCCTAAAAGTCAAATTTAATACAGCTACAGTAACAGTATCAGATTTAGAAGATAATGCAAGTAAGGAAGGAAGTTTTATTTAAATCATTTTTAATATTAAAATATTTTTTTGTATAAGCCTCAATCTTTTTTGTTTCTTGAAAATAGTTTACAAGTAAAAAAGTTATTTTACTTCTGTTCAAAATATATTAAAAAAAAAAAAAATTTAAGCATGTACTTGAATGGAAATATATGAATTATGGTAATATAATTCGACTAATAGTTGAACAAACGTTTTTTTTTCTCTAACTTTATTTTATTGCAAATCAATTTGAACAAAAAAAATTGAATAAAAATATCAACTTAAAACGTTGATCTCACTTGTTTGGTCTATAGATAGAGCATGTTTTAGTGCAAAAATTAAGTTTAAAAATTTATGGTGATAATGTTTTAATTAGAACAGTTACTGTATTTTATTTTAAACACATTGCAGGTAATTAATTTATAAATTGTATAAAACAGCAATAAAACAGTGTTAAAATAAAACAGTGTTTAATGTCAATTTTAACACAGGCTCTTTATATTAACAAAACAACTTTGCAGTATTGTTAACTGTTATTTTATAGCTTTTTACAAAAACAATTTTATCCACTTTAAAAATATGTCATCGAAGGGTTAATTAATTTTTTATAAGTATTTTTTTTTAATTATCAATTTTAAAAATAAATTGCTAACGCAACCCTCCCAACCGCAAAGTAGAGCCATCGGTCAAGAAAGGGAGGGGAGAAATTAAAAATAATAATTTGTGATTAAATTTTTTGCATCAATTCACAACCGCAAAGTAGAGCCATCGGTCAAGAAAGGGAGGGGAGAAATTAAAAATAATAATTTGTGATTAAATTTTTTGCGTCAATTCAAGCCCTGCTAAATGAATGCAGCCTCTTTTAACAAAGCTATTAATCTAATATAATACTTGTTATTTGAAAATGTTCTATGAAAGAGTTGTCATGTGAAATGTTTTCTCAAATTTTTTCTCTCAGAGTTTTATTATTCTTGTTAATTTTTTATTATTCAGTAACTATGGAACAAACTAATTTTTTATTATTCAGTAAAGAAACAAACTAACTTAGATGTTTTATTCATGCAAGAAAATTTAATAATGCCCTATCACTTTTCAGGATTTTTTTATCTGTAAAAACTCCAGTTAACAAAAACTAACTATATAATTTACAGAAAAAAAAATCTGTTGGAGATTTATATGTATACTTATATCTTGACGAAGATTTTTTTTTGTCAAGTAATAAGTAAACAGTTTTCTTTTTTTAGTTCTGATGATGGTTCTGGAATTGAAGCTCGACTTTTATCTACCATAAAAAAAGATAGTGTTGATGCAAAATATGGTTTCACAAAGCACAAAGATCCTGTTGAAAAATGCGGGTGGTTAATAAATATGCACCCGGTATTTTTATTGGTTCCATGTGTGTGTGTATGTGTGCGTATGTGTTTGTATGTGTGTATTTGTGTGTGCATCTGTGTGAGTATGTATATACACACATATTTGTATATGTATATATATATATATATATATATATATATATATATATATATATATATATATATATATATATATATATATATATATAATATATATCAGGCTTGGTCGGGAAGCGGGAGCGATTGCTCTCGATTGTTGACCACGTAAATAATATTTAGTTGCGAAAAGCTAGCCAGATTTTTTAGTCGTTTTGAGAATATTTTAAAAAGCAAAAAAAAAAAGCGCTAAAGATTAGTTGGACCAATGAGAGACAATTACAAAAAAAAAAAAAAATTAGGCAAATAAAATATCTGTAAACGCGAAAAAATTTAAAGCTAAATAAATTACATTTAGAACAAATATTTTCGAAACATCGCTCTTTTATAATTTTTTTTATAAAATTAAGCGATGTTTTTTTGTATAAAGTAACAACTTACCATTGTTTAAAAAGGAAGCAAATATTCTTTATTTAACAAAGTTTGCACGTTTTAAATTTGTTTAAGCTAAATTATTTAATAAATAAAAAAGTTATTTTTTTTAATACCTGTTTTATGTTTCGCGTAGTTTGAAAAGTTTAACATATTTGAAGCAATTCTTCTTATTAAGATAAACAAATGAAATAAATAAATCATTGAATTACTATAGAAATTAAATTATAAAGATAGAAATCAACTAAAAAGGTGAAAAATACTTTATGACGAGGAAGCGAAACTGCTTCATAATATCGCTGATGATGTTTAGTGAGTGGGCTTTTTAATTTTAATTAGTATTTAAAGCAGAAAAAAGTATAACGAGTTTTAAGAATGGCAACTTAAGCGAAAATAATTAGAGTTAGTAAACAAATATCTAGAAACTTTTCTTTATATCTAATTATTTGCTATATATATTTGTGTTCTGTTGTGATCATCCGCGAGTTACTTTGTATGCGTTGTTTGTGTTTAGTAACTAGAAACTTCTTATATGTTTGTTACATAATTAGTTTTATTAACTTTAGCGATTATAACTTCATTGAAAACGCAATTATTTTGTTAACTCTTTGTTTAAATCATAAAAATTGCTTTAAAAGATACATTACTATAAAAAACAAATACACAAAAATACATTTACGTAAAGAATACAATCTCTTTTTAAATATAAAAATAAGAATATACTAATAAAATCTATAATTTATAATAAACTTTTAAAATTTTGACAATTTAATTAATATATATTTAAACATTTATTTTTGTAAACAAATAATATATATTCTTAAAACAGTTTATGTTAGAAATCTCAAAACGTATCAAATCGTGAATAATACAAATTCCAAAACATTTCAACAGAATACTCTAGAACTTTATTTCGCTTAATCAGCGTATTTTTTGAACCAATAGAATTAGTTTGTTCGTTAATTTGGCGGGTTTTTAGTGTTTGCGAATATTCTTTTTATTCTTTCGCACCATGATGTTTTAAGAACATTCAAGTTTTAAAAGTTTATTATAAATTATATTTCCATGTATGTCCGTAGAACAAAATTTTTTTGTTTCGTACATAACTTAAATGTTCTCAAAACAACTAAAAAACCTGGCCCGTTTTTTGCAACTAAATATAATTTCCGTGGTCAGTATTCGAGAGCGATCGCTCCTGCTTCCTGACCAAGCCTGATATATATATATTAGTTTTTATGACCCTACAAAGTTTACAGCCCCCTCAAACTGAGGGGGGTTAAAACTTTATATGGTCATAATTTTCGAAAAATAAGAAATTATTGGATGAAATTTGAAATTTGTTGATGAATATAAATTTAGATAAAAATACTAAAAAAATTATTTTATCAACTTGTTGCTCTCTCTCTCTCTCTCTCTCTCTCTCTTTCTATATATATATATATATATATATATATATATATATATATTATATATATATATATATATATATATACACATATATATATATATATATATATACACATATATATATATATATACATATATATATATATATATATATATATATATATATATATATATATATATATATATATATATATATATATATATATATATATATATATTTATATATATGTGTGTGTGTGTATATATATATATATATATATATATATATATATATATGTGTGTGTGTGTGTATATATATATATATATATATATATATATATATATATACATATATATATATATATATATATATATATATATATATATATATATATATATATATATATATATATATATATATATATATATATATACACACACACACACATAAATTGTTAGATAAAAAAAAAGAAAAAAATTTTTTTTTTTTTAACTTTTAAAATTTCTAAACATGTTAAAGAAATTATTTTTATCTAATTTAATTTTAGTTACTTTTTATTTTTATTATACATTCAACTCTTTTGTTTATTTAAAGTTTTATTTTTTAATAATTAATTTATTTTTTATAAATTTTTATATTTATAATTATTTATAGTTTCAAATCAATTAAGTTTGTTCATCCCGTTACAAAAATTCTACTGGCCGCATAAGCCATAATCAAGCCTGTAGGCAAAAATAGTTATTTTTGTAGGCAAAAATTGTTTGCAGTTTTAATTTCTTCAAGACCATTAAGACATTCACCCTTAAACAATTGCTCCCTCATAAAAAAAATAACTAAATGAGGAAGCAAACATAAGATGAAAGTATTGTGTAATAAATGTTTTAAGAAATAACGTTTAAGTTTAAATAAGTATAAGTTTTTTAAAATTAGGAAATTTTTTATTTAAACAACATTTAGATTTTAATGATAATTTTTTTTTAAAACAATATTGTTTAATTTAGCGTCTAAATTTAATTTTGCATCAGTTGCAGTTCGTAACTGATGCAATTTATCATTTAGCAATGTAAATATGATTATTGATAAAAGGGTAATTCCTTAATATAGTAATAAAGGACTCTCTTGTCCTCTCAGAATTGCAATGTTTATTTAGAGGTTTATAATAACTTTATAATAACACATAACTTTGAAAGTATTTGATCTTTTTACTTAAAAATTTGTACCTGGCTATTCAGGGGTGACTAATCCAATAAAATCATCAGAAATATAAAAAAGTACCGGTATTTATCAATTTAGGTAAATTTAGCCAATTTTTTATATACCTGTTTTTAATACCCAAGAAACCCATGTGGCTTTGATGATATAAAAACAAAAAAATTTTACACATCATTCTATAATCATTGATCTTTCAGAAAAAATAAAAATTTTGATCTGCAAGTGTATGGATTTCTATATATATATGTATAACAGGGCACAATCCCTACTTTTTTTTTGTAGCGGAATATTGCAATTGATTTTTCACTACCTTCCAGACTAGCTGGAGCTCTGAAACTTTTGACATTTCTGTAGTGCTAATGAATGTGTATGTTAAATATGCTTCAGGACCACAGACACTAGGGAGGGGGGTTAGGTCATGTGCTCCACTATTTTGTAGTGGAATCTTACAATAGATTTTTCTTTATTTTCCAGACAAACTGAAAATCTATTTTATTGATCTCCTTCATTTTTACTTTATCAATCTCTTACGCACTTACTTGCAATATACTTACATACTTGCAATCTTGCCTGCACTCTTTTTAATGTAATTTCTGATCAAATTGACTGAGCCCTTTTCTCTTTAACCATCAGCCATTTTTGTTGTTATTGATAACTTGAATACTCATCATGTTTGCCATTAATTTACTTTTGGTTCCATTCTTTACTTCTAAAAATCTGTCTTTCATCCATTTATGGAATACTTTTGTCATATTTGGGCTTTTTCTTCTAATGAGGTCTTTTTTTATAGACAAAATCCCTTTGTAATTGTTGTTGGAATTGCTCATGCTAAAATGTTTTAGTTGCTGTCTCATTTTCATAAAGTCTCATTTCTTTCTTATTTCTAAAAATACTACCATGGCTGCTGCTCAACATTATTTGTTTAATTTTATTCTATGTTATCACAATCCTCAATCTTTTCAATCTTAATCCTAACTCAATCTTTTCAATCTGAATACGTATTTTTGTTGTAATGTTTCTCAAAAATTTATCCAATTTTTATCTTCTGACATAAACATGCACAACAGTGCTTTGAAATTCTCTTCTGTCTTTTTGTTGTCCTCACTTAATACATCAATGTGTTGGAATTTGCTCAATGTCTCGAAGTGACTTAAAGAGGTTTACATTTTTCAGTCTGTTATCTGTATTTTCTAATTTTTTTTTTTTTTTATCAACTTTTAACTTAAATCGTGTTTAACTGCAGGGGTGAATTCATTTTAAATGCTTGGAAGAGATTTCATTTTTATAGAAATTGTTATTTTGCAAGTATTAATATAAATTATGTCAAGTAGTTTATATTGGAATTTTTATAGAAAGTGTTATTTTTATAAAAAGTGTCATTTTTATAGAAAGAGTTATTTAGCAAGTATTAAAATAAATTATGTCAAATAGTTTGTATTGGAAGTAGTAGTTGTTCAAAACGCACATAAGTGTGTTGAATGCTATTGAAAAAAGAAAAAGAAAAAAAATATGTATATATATCAACCCTCACAGTTTTTTTTTTTTTAACATCTTCGCTTCCAACAAGGCTGCCAGCAACCACTATTAGAGTTGGAAGTTACTGGAAGAGATAAGATGAAGATTGTAGAGCAAGATAGCAACTGACAGACGGCTTAAAAGATTGCAAATTATATGAATCAGGAAAGCAAGATAATGGAAACGCATTCCGAAGAACTGATGTTTAAGAAAAAAAGCGCAATAAGAGTTTTTGGAGCACTCAGGAACAGTCTCAAAAAAAAGATGAGGCTTAATTAAATGACGAGTAACATGAGAAATGAATGGCACAAGAGACACTAGCTTTTAGAGCAAAAATAATTTGACACAAGGGGTTACCATAAAAAATAGAAACCAGGTCGGCAATTTTTTGCCTACCTCAAACCCTTTTAAGTTGACAGTTAAGTTGGCATTGCCAAATGTTGACCTTAATTCCTTCCAATTAGGGCTAACGTGTATATATATATATATATATATATATATATATATATATATATATATATATATATTATATATATATATAAAATAACGGAATTATTTTTAGAGAGAGTATTTTATCTTTTTTTCTAATAAAATATATGTTTATGTTTAAAATATTAATGGCTAAAACCATCTTACATTATGTAAAATTTTTTAATTTAGACAGAAATTCAGGATGAAGATAAAAAACTTCTTAGTGCTGTTGACTATTATTTTATTCAAGATGATGGCAATAGATTCAAGGTTTATATTATTTATACAACTAAAGAGATAAATTATTATTTATACAAATAAAGAGAAAAAAAAGATACTTAGAGAGTGATAAAAAGCTTTTGGGGCTATTCTAGATCGTTTTCTACAGCGCCAACCGTATTTGGACGCTGACCGAATTCTGAAATGGAGGATCTTTTTTTTTATACAGTAAATGCTCTTTTTTCGCAAAAAAATGCCCTAGTTGTTTTCCTAGATTAGCCCATGTGTATATATATATACAAGGGCTATTCTAGGAAAAAAATTTGGGCGGCGGTACCCCTTTATCCCGGAGAAACTTGGCAAAAAATCTAAAAAAACAAAAAAAAAGGTCCTTAAATTTTAATTTTAGTGGCACCCATATTGGCGCCCAAATACGGTTGACGCTGTCGAAAACAGTCTAGAATAACCCCTGATATATGTATATATATATATATATATATATATATATATATATATATATATATATATATATATATATATATATATATATATATATATATATATATATATATATATATATATATATATATAAATATAAATTGTATACTATATATATTTTTTTTAATTCTGTTTTTTGTTCTAATTATTTGTGTCATTGTTGTACTATGCTATAATATGCTCTACAACAAAATCAGGATAGAAAAAAAATAAATCTATAAAATGGCCCTGATCTTAGCATAAGGTGTTTTGAAAAAACTCATGTGAAACTTTTAAGTAAGAAACAAAAGTTTTACATTTTAAATAAAGTTTAATTATAATATATAAAAAAATACTTTTTGAGTAATGAAATCTATGAAAGAAGTCAAGTTAACAGACAATATGTTGGCAACCTTGTTAATTGAATTTTCTTAATTGTTTTTAATGTAATTTTTGGCAATGATTTTCATAAATAAAAGTTTTTAATTCAATTGTAAGCATATTTTAAGAAATAGTTTCTCCTAGTGATAACAGTTATTAAAGTAAAAACACAAAATAACTCTGATGATAAATCAAACACTCTAGGATAAAGAAAAACATTTTAAACTAGATCAGCTATTGAATTATAAATTTTTTTTTTTAAATACAACTTGTTCATATTTTTATTAGAATTGAATGAGGCTTACATGAACACTTTCATCTATTTTTACTAAAGGCCATGCATAGTCACTTATGGCTGCATCTCATCAAATCTGTTATAGTTTTTTCCATCTTTGCAGTATTAGTTGTTGAAATCACCATCAATTATCTTTTATACATTCAGTAAAATACATTCAGTGAAATACATTCAGTGAAATGTCATGTCAGTATAAGTAGTGTAACTTTATAGATTTTAAAAAATTTCTATAAAAAATTATAGAAAAAATAGAAAAATCATTTTCATTTTTAAAACATAACATTTGTTTTACAACAAATGTTAAGTTTTGCTGTGTGATTTATAATTTTTTTCATTCAGGTTTCATTGCCATTTAACCCTTATTTCTACATCGCAGCTAAAGAGGTAATTTTTTTTACGCTTTATCATTAAATATGTTATTTTAAGAATTTTATTAAAATAGAGAAAGTTGCTTCCAATTTTAAAAATAATTGTTTTTCAATTTTGGATTCCGTCTCCAACTAATCTTTTTTCAAACGTCGTTTTTTATTTCATTTACTTTTGTCCTTATCATTTAAAGTTTTTAAAGTTTTTTTTTGATATTGTTTTAATAATATTTTGCTAATTTATTATACAAGTTTTTTTGTTTTTTTTTTATTTAAATAAAATTGTACGACTTTATATCACTAAGTTGCTAGGCATTTTTTTGAGCAAATAAACATTTTCAAAATGTATAAATGTATTCATTATATATATTTCATTAAATGTATTTTATATATATTTGTCAATTCTGATTGATTGCTTGATTGTTTGTTCCGAGTTAACAGCCAGACTGTTGGTCCGAGACACTTGAAATTTGGCATGGATGATCCCCATGACCCAGGAAGTGACATGCTATGTCAAGTTGACATCAGAGGTCACTGGAGGCTGGAGGTCGCGGGGGCTTTCAAATGTTCATTTTTGGGTTAGGGGGCTGGATAGAGTGTTCCCTTGTGAAGTGCAGAGTTGTTCCTTGCCCCCGGGGGTGGGGGTGCAGATAATCTTAGGTGTGACCTTGGGGGTTGCTGGAGGTCAGAATGGTCTGGAGGACAAGTTAAGTGTTTCCTATGATGTGATTTCCATCAGTTTCTGTTGTGTTCCATGGATTGCTGTTACATATTTTGTCATTTTCCAGAATTTTCTGGAATGTTCTCTTCACATGAGTATATATTCATACACAATACTCATTTGAAAAGAACAATGCCCCTGTACCAAGTTGACTACCACAAAATAAAAGAACCAAAAATGAATTAATTACCACCAAAAAACAAAATTTCCGCACCCATTTCCTGCAGCAACATACAAAGAGCAAACTGACCCCCAGAACTGCAACCCCAGTTTTTACTGGGTTGCTGAGGTGAACACATTTGTGGGGTTTCCGGAGAGGGCCAGAATTTTCCGCAGTGGTCCAGAGTTTTCTGGAATGTTCCAAAGTGCACAATGTGGCTGTTCAATCAACTTCCAGAGCATTTAGGGGCTTTCCAGAGTGTTCCGTGGTGAAATATGTGGATGTTGGTGGATCACTAGAGATCGCATATAGCTCAATTTTTACCGGGTTGCTGAGGTGAACACATCATTTGTGGGGTTGTAGTTCTGGGAGTCAGTACGGGCGTCGGTTTGCTCTTTGCATGTTACTGTGGGGAAATTTTGTTTTTTGGTGGTAACTTATTCATTTTATTTACTTTTATTTTGTGGTAATCAACTTGGTACAGGGGCATTGTTATTTTCAAATGAGTATTGTGTATGAATATATATAAAATTATGTGTGTATGGTGTATATAAAATCCCTGCATAGAAGCAATTTTAGTGTCGTTTACCAAGAGGCTCTGCAGCTATTTTTTTTATAGTACCCAGGATTGAGAGTTTTTTAGTCAAGTAATTGATTTTTGGAGGGTAGGTTTTGTTTGTACACCAGCAACTTTGATTTATTTTGCCGGTGCCCAGCCATGCGCGCACCTCTGCTAGTGTATATATATATATATATATATATATATATATATATATATATATATATATATATATATACCCACACATTCATACATACATACATACATACATACATACATACATACATACATAAACACCCATATATATATATATATATATATATTATATATATATATATATATATATATATATATATATATATATATATATATATATATATATATATATATATATATTGTGTGGGTGGGTGTATATTGCTTTTTAATTTTATTGATTTTTTAGGGAACAGAAAGAGAACTTGCAACTTACCTCAATAAAAAATATGCTGGCTTAATAGCTTCGATTGAAACAGTTGAAAAAGAAGACTTAGATTTGGTATATTTTTTGTGTATGATGTGTATATGTACACACACACATATATATATAATATAAAATAATATATATAATATAAAATACAATATAAAATATATATTGTTGTGGTAAAAATAATTTTTATTGTTAAATAATTTTTGTTAATTATAAAATATATCTGTATGATAAAAATGTGTTTTTATAAAGTATTTATATACAAGCATCTATTATCTCTGTTATAAAGTATTTATATACAAGCATCTATTATCTCTGTTATAAAGTATTTATATACAAGCATCTATTATCTCTGCAGTATTTTTCCTAATAATAGTTTTTTTTCCTCCTGATTTAGCTAAACCACTTGACTGGTTTAAAGAAAAGTTATATCAAACTTTCATTTTATAATGAAAAAGAACAAATGAAATTGAGGAAGTATACTTGACTTTTTTTTTTTTTTTAATTTTTAAAATAATTTTAACTTACTTTACTAATTTAAGCAATGTTTTTATGTATTCAAAGGTACAAAGGTAAAGGTTTTAAATTTGCCTACTAATTGTGCGCAAATGTTTTTAAACATTGAACAATTTATTAATAACATGCTTTCTTTTTGTAGGGAAATCCAACCACTTATCAAGAAAAATAAAGAACGCGAAAAAGCTTATTCTACATATACAATGGTAACTGGTAATACTGATTCAAACAACGATGGTACATCCTCAAAAACAAATTTAATGGATAATATACTTGATATACGTGAATTTGATGTTCCATATCACGTGAGAGTATCAATTGATCTAAAAATATTTGTGGTATTTTGTTATTGCAAAAATTTTTGTTACGTGAATATTTTGTTGTTATGTGCATATTATTTTTTTTTTTATCCAATAATTTTTTCTTTATTTTTTACTAAGATAAAAAATATTGCAAACATAAATTAACATAAATTATGCAATTAAAAGCGCCAACTAAGAAAGTAAAACTCTGACACATAATTATTAAATTTGAAATTTTATGAAATTATTTCATAATTAAAAATATTAAAGAAACTATGTAGTATGTAAGTGATACTTACTAAACCTGAGTTTTTTTAATATATATCTTAGTAAAATCATTTTTCAAGGGTCATTGGTATAAAGTTAAAGTTCATGGCGGTTTAAATGTCAGCATCAAAATATGTCCTGAGTTACTTCACAGACCAGACCCAGTTGTCATGGCATTTGATATTGAAACAACAAAATTACCATTAAAATTTCCTGATTCAGCAATTGACTCAATTATGATGATTTCATATATGGTTGATGGACAGGTAATTTTGTTCTTATAATCTGATATGAAGATAAATCTATTATGACTTGTGTAAAATATAATATATTGAATATCTTTTTAAATCAACCTAAAATTTTAAAATTGGCAATGAAAATTGGGAATTTAATAATTTTTATATGTTTACCTGTGAAGTCATTTTCTTGTGAAGATGTTTCTTTTTAAAGAAGTTTCTCTGTGTTTCTATTTTTGTTCTGTTTCTAACATACTTATTACAAAATTATTGACAGCACTAAAAAAATGATGGTTCTGAAAATAATGCATTTAAAGGGAAAAGGTACCAAAATTATATATAGCTAAAATAAAAAAATAAAAAATAGTTTAAAATGAGAAAGGGAACTCGGAACTAATTTAAAATGATAGTAGAACTTAACTCTAAAAATTAGTGTTTTTTTGATGTTTTATTAACCATTTTTTGTTGATGTTCAATTGACCATTTTTTAATATTTTGTTGACCTTTTTTTGATGTTTTTATTGACCATTTTTTGATGTTTTGTTGACCATTTTTTGATGTTTTGTTGACCATTTTTTGATGTTTTGTTGACCATTTTTTGATGTTTTGTTGACCATTTTTTGATGTTTTGTTGACTATTTTTTAATGTTTTGTTGACAATTTTTTAATGTTTTGTTGACTATTTTTTGATGTTTTGTTGACCATTTTTTTAATGTTTTGTTGACCATTTTTTAATGTTTTGTTAACTATTTTTTAATGTTTTGTTGACCATTTTTTGATGTTTAGTTGACCATTTTTTATTGATTTTTTATAGACTGTTTTTTGTTGATGTTTTGTTGATAATTTTTTGATGTTTCGACCATTTTTTAATGTTTTGTTAACTATTTTTTAATGTTTTGTTGACCATTTTTTGATGTTTAGTTGACCATTTTTTATTGATTTTTTGTAGACTGTTTTTTGTTGATGTTTTGTTGACCATTTTTTGTAATGTTTTTTTTACCATTTTTTGATGTTTTTTTGACCATTTTTTTAATGTTTTGCTGATCATTTTTTGTTTATGTTTTGTTTATTAGTATTATTTTCTTTTTTTAAGGGCTATTTGATAACAAATAGAGAGATAGTGTCTGAAGATATTGAAGACTTTGAATATACGCCACGCCCTGAGTATGAAGGGCCATTCATTATTTTTAATGAACCTGATGAGGTAATGTTGAGGCCATAATGAGATGTCTCATTTTAACAAACATTTGATTTTTTTTTTTAAATAACTTAGTACATCACTTTTTTAAAAAGCTTTTTACAATTTTAGAGGAATTACTATTACTGTTTTTTGGTTTTTAGGCAAGTCTACTACGCCGTTGGTTTGATCATATATTGGAACTCAAGCCAAATATATTTGTTACATATAATGGTGATTTTTTTGATTGGTTAGTTATTATTTGAATGATTTGATGTTAATGTTGTTTTCAATACATAAATAAAAAGAACTAATGGTTCTGTATGATATTAATTTTGTTGTTGTGACATTTTTTTTTCACATTAATAAAACTTTAATTTAACTTTTTTTTGATTCTTAAAAATTTGATTCTTAAAAATATAAAAAAAAAAGTTGTTATTTTTGTTGTTGTTATTAATTTTTTGTAATATTATATTTAAATAGTAATTTATAACAAATAGTCATAATAAATATTAAATATATAATATATAAGATATAAGATATATATATAATATATAAGTATAAGATATACTGAGGTATATATACCATATACAGATGTATCAGAAGTATAAGATTGTTATTTTTGTAATTGTTATTGTTTATTGCTGTTTATAATTAGGCCCTTTATTGATGCTCGTGCAAAGGTATATGGGATATCTATGATAGAAGAAATAGGTTTATTACTCATTTTAGATTTTTTTTTTAATTTAAAAATTTTTCTTTTTGTTTAAATTTAATGGTAAATGTTTTTTATTTCTTCACTTTTTTTAGGATTTAGCCCAGATGCTCAAAAAGAATACAAATCCACTTATGGAATACACATGGATGCTTTTAGGTATGAAATCAGCGTTTTCAATATTTAATTCTCTTCTAATTTTAGAAAGAAAAAGAAATTTGATGATTTTTCTTTAGAACACAATATTTTGTTCAGAGATTCTGGTGGAATACCTATAATTTCTGCTATAGAGTGATGGTCCCTCACATTCTATGGCACCCCCAATATTCACAATAGGATCTCAAATCATTTATCCTGTACCTAGAACAGTCAAGATATTTTTTGTATCAAGACTGTGATGTTATACCTATGATTTCCCTCTCTCCTTATGACAATCATAATATTTGTCAAGCCCACAAATTTAAAAGCCATCCACAGATTTTTCTTTTTTTCCTAAAAAACTTGTTTGAACTTGTCTTACAATAAGTCTTCCCTTCCTGATCTTAAAATAAACTTTTAAATATCATATAATGCTTATTATTAATGCCATATATATTTTTATTATTTTGTTTGCTTATTTTGTTGGAAATAATTTATTCTTAAACATTTAATATATGTTACTGAAGCTTACATATCTTACATACTTTTTTGTTATTGTAACAATAAATAGATTACAGTCTTTTCAGGATTTTTGCTTTCATTTTTTAAAACTTAAGCACCTTAAGCTTATAATCTTCAACTTATAAAATCCAAGTTTTCTATTAAAAAAACTTTTTTAATATTTACAATATAACTGTTATGTTTTTTCAAAAAACAAAATCTTGTCTAGGAAGGAATTTTATTTTTCTACCAAAAAATCAAAAATGTTGCATACAAATATTTTTTTTGTATATGTAAATTTTACACTTTAATTGTTAAAAATTTAGGTGGGTGCAACGAGACAGTTATTTACCAGTGGGAAGCCAAAATTTAAAAGCTGTTACAAAGGTACTTTAAGTTTTTAAAATGTTTTCAGGTAATATACAATTTAAAAATCAATTTATATATTATATTAGTATAATATATAAATATATTAGTATTGTAAGCATCCTCATAACTGTAAAACATTTACACCACACCCTTGGTATTATCAAGGGTCTGGTGGTGGTTGAAGTGGGGGCTGCTTATGAAGCAAGCACACCACTTTTTATATACAATAAAATAAAAACAATATTTTTATTTTATTTTTCTTATTTTTGTTAATTAAAAGATATAAAGCATAAAATACAAAGTATTAAGAAACTGATATATTATAGCTAAAATACTGTATTATTTAAATATGAATTTTATTCAATTAATGTCAGTTAATTCATGCTATATCATGCTGAAGCCCTAAAGTAGGCCTTAAGCATGTCTTTTATATGAAAAACGTCTTCCTGTTTTCCAAGAACGAAAGGTTTTGTAGTTTTTCTTACCTCCATAACAATTTTATCCCAATCTTCAGAGATGTCTGCCAAGATTGTTTTTCTTGTGTTGCTAAGCAGATGTTGCTAAGCAGATGGAGGTCTGCATCATTTGGCAAACAGATGGAGGTCTGCATCATTTGGCAAAAAGGAGTGGCCTTTTATAGGGAAAATGTGAATTACACAATCAATTTTTTTAAGTACATGTACTACCATATACCAAAATACCACATACCAAAACCATGAAAATTTTTATTTTGTCCAGAACAACCGTTACTCAAAATATAAAGGATTTTTGTACCCTGAGACAAATATTAATTTAACCAGTGGAGCAGTATCGATGTTACATCATTTTGCCCATGTTTTGCCCTTCCTTCATAATAAGAATGAACATGAACACATCATTTCGGGCTAAATCATGTATCCCAAATATATAGTACCATAACTGCCTAGAATAGAACACAACATTTGTAACCATATTTAGCAAAGGCTAATTTTGCGTAAAGTCATATGATATGACAGTTATATCAGTATCAGAGGTCACTAGTAGTTTTTATTTGTAATCTCTTGAGATCAATTAAAACTCTATTTTTTCGTTTTTCTTCTTCAGGAAAATCAAAAACTTGACATTTTGTTCTAACAGAATCATAGTAGGAGCATTTATTGCTGCGAGGAGATCCAAAGAATAGATTGTATTTGGTTGTAAAAATTCTGTAGTATGTATAATATTTTAGTTAGGTTTTGTAAAATTATAAGAAGAGAACATTAATTTTTTATATGCTTAATGTATCTGGAAGATCTTACATTTTTATTTTTGTTGAAAGAAAAATGGCTTTGACAGCATTTGAAGGAATGTATTTGAGAATGAATGAGCTGTATTATTTCCTCTTTTATCTTTTGGAGCTTGTGATATGATTTTGAATATGTCTCAGTTGCTGATAAGAAATACCTCAAATTGACAAAAATGCTTTTAAACAAATCGCATAGCTAAGAAATATAATATAAAATCTCCATTATATATATAATATAATATAAAATCTTCATCATCTGGAGATTTTATCTGAAACAAATAGTAATAGTTTTTATTAAAAGTGATGAAGATTTGTATTTAATAAGACGCATCAGAAACACTGATCTTATACTTGTAAGTTGTTGAATGCATTTAAATATCATCATTAATAGGAATTAATAGGAATTACATCTTTTGAGTTTTCCTTGAATGTCTTCCTTTTATATTTATCACTTCAATGCAACCTGATAAACATCTTGTTCATTTTTAGTTTCCATATTGTAAAACAAATGTTATGATTCTGAAATCTGCTTTCACTGTTTTGAAACAGCGTTTTTTTTTTTGCACCTTGATACATATATAAAAAGATTATAGTTTATATTTCTATTTAAAGTAGTCTCAAGTAGAACTTGTTCAACAAAAATTATTAATCAACAAAATAATCTTATCCAATCAGACCGATTAGCATCCAATTAACTAGATGCTAGTTGGACAAAAAAACTAAAGAAATGGTGCATTTTAATTAATAATTTATTGATGATAATTATATGACCAGCTCCCTTTACTTTTGCAGTTTTAATTAAGTTCTGCTTGCTGTGGATAGTTATCCTATTCCTGGGTTTTCAGACACTTGTATTCTTGAACTTTCGATTATGAACCCTGCAAACTTATTAATAAACAGAACAACACAAGAAACACCATTCATAAATGTCAAACAATAAGTGATTATTATATGTATGTTGCTATACATTTTTACAACTGTATGCTGACACCACCATACAGTTGTTTTAAAACAAACCCATGATGTTTTTACAAAATTACCTTTTTTCTGACAGTCATTTTGAAGGACATGTAATTTTAAAAGAAATATTTAATAAGAGTCATTGAATGGACTCATATATAAGCAACTAAAAAATAAGATAAACCCAATTTGCATTATAGTGGATATATTGAGGTTTTAATTCCAAGGTCTTCAATTTAGTTATTTGTTTAGCTTGTAAATTATATTTTCTTTTCCAATCTCTTGCTTTACTAGCTCCCAAAAATTTTTGATGTTGGGTAATACAGGCCTTGCCATGAATAAGAACTGCGCGACGCATAAGCACGACGTGATTTTTGACGTCATTAAATTCTTTTTATTTGCTGTTCATATTTATCAACATTAACTTCACCAATTTACTTAATTACCGCAAAACTACTTTAAATCGTTTATGTTATTATTTAAAAATGTTTTGGAATGTTTCGTTTTTTAAAATGTAAAAACATTTGTTTATTTTCTCGACGTTTGTCACGTTTTGTCTATACTAAACAAATAAAAAACATTTTAACTTAAATTTAAAAAAGATTATAAAATATGCTAATATTTGATTTTTTTTCTCGTATTAATAAAAAACTTAAACGAACGTTTTGAATAGATTTTTAATGTTAACAAGGAATTTTATTTCTAGTAAAATAAAATAAAATGTTAGTATAAAAATTTTATAGGTATAAAAAAAATATTTCAGCGAAAAAATTATTCTTAAAAATTATTATTAAAAATTATTCGAAAAACTATTGACGTTTTATTTTTCAGCAGCTGTTCTTGAGCACGCTTCGTTAAGTTTCGTTAACTTTTAACATAAAAGCGATCGTTATTATTTAAGTAATTTTTTTGAGTTACTTTTTACAAAAATTTTAATAACAGCACTTTTTTATTGAATCAAGTAGAATACATTTTAATATTAATCCTTTTTTTTTTTTTTTGTTTGCGCTCACCAATTTTTAAAATGTTTCCTCGAAATTACTCTTAAATACTTTAAATACGTCTAACAGTTATTAAATATTTTTAAATCTATGGAATAATTTTAAAACCTAATAAACCCCCGTAAAATAATAATTTAAGTTTAAAATCTAAAACTAAAAGAAAGTATTTTTGTTCAATTTTATCGACAACTTTGCTATTGCTGAATAATTTTATTAAAATGTTACCTTAAAATATTTAAACTTTTTTTTTAATCTGAATTTTTTCTACTTGTAAATAATGAGCATATTTAATTTTTTTTAATTCAAACTTTTATTTCAACTGCGTGCGGTTTTTAAAATACTTTATTAAATGTTAAAATAATCGTAAATTACTTCATTAAAATTCCGCTCAAAAATAAATATACTCAAACAAAAAATTTTTTGCTCGACGCAAATAGCCCTAGCTACACGCAAAATCGCTCTTGGACGACGTAAAATTCACATCGCCCGACGCTTTATCGCAAGGCCTGGTAATATAAGGAATTAATAATTTATTCATCAAGGTTTGTGTTTTGGAGTTATAGAGATGGAAGAGAATTCTAACCACGACTAAAAGTAGCCTCTTTGATTATTATGGTCTTCATAACTTTAGATTTAAAAAAAAAAAAGCTATGACAGTTTTAGCTGTGTGGCAAGTTGGTGCAACTCTTGTATTATTATAAAATTCTTGTCATTTTTTGACCAATTTAGGGTAAAAACTAATTTTCAGATCTTCTTTACACTGGTCCTTTCACATTTTGACAACCACTTTTTAGATGTCTTGCTGCTTGCACACAAATGACAGACCTGATCATTATTAAGGATAAATACTTGGCTGTTTTCACATTGCAGCTAGGATAAAACTTATTGTTTGATCTGCGACTGACAAAAGCTATTTTGTCCACTTAAAAGGTTTATTCGTCTGAGAGGCAAATCTTTAATAATATTTATTTAAAATGTGAATAAAATGTAAATAATAGTTTAATGATCATAAATATAATTAATGGACTTACAGGGTTTTTTTATTTTTTGTAGGCAAAGCTTCGTTACAATCCTGTTGAAGTTGATCCTGAAGATATGGTTAGAATGACAAGTGAGCAGCCCAGGGTATAATATATATATAATTTCTTAAAACATTTTTTTGTACTCATGTCCTAATGTCACTGTCACAAAGATATGTTTCTGACAAACAAGTTAATATTTGAATTTAGTTTATTTGAAATAGACAATGTAAAGACTGCATGTAATTTATTACCGCTAATCAGCAACAATACATTTTCTGACCTCCATAAATCCAGTAAATTTCAGTGAACCACCCAGTGAAAGATTTGTTTCTGACAAAGCAATCCTTGTATTATGCCTAACAATTTTGTAATACTCAAAGTAAAAAATATTTTATTAAAACATTTTAAAGTGAAAACAAAGTTTATATATATCAACAAAAAAACAAAAAATTATTAACTAAAAAATTAAAGCCACATATTTTATTTTAATAAATTTTAATTTAAATGCAAATAAATAAAAATTAAGATTTTCTTTAAAACTTACTAATTTACTTAATAAAAATAATATGTTATAATTCTACAATTTTACATCTTACAATTTTTCTTTAACTTTTTAATTAACTTTATTTTAATTATTAAGGAAATGGCAAGTTATTCAGTATCTGATGCAGTCGCCACTTATTATCTCTACATGCAATATGTTCATCCGTTTATATTTGCTTTATGTACAATCATTCCAATGGAACCTGATGAGGTCATATGATTTAACTTGTTGAGGAATATAAACATTTATGTATTTTTTAACATTTATTAAAATGCAAATGTTTAATTTTAGATACTTCGGAAAGGATCTGGAACATTATGTGAAGCTTTGCTCATGGTAGAAGCATTTCATGCAAACATCATTTTTCCAAACAAACAAGAGCAGGTTTTTATATTTTTAATTTTTAATAATTAAGTTTAATAATTAATTTAATTTAAGTTATAAAGAATATCTTCTATTTTTCATATTCTACTTTTCAAAAATATTCTCTTTTTATTACTCAATATGTTTTTTTTACAAAACAATATTTTTAGATTCATACTAAATTTTATGATGGTCATCTGCTTGAAACGGAAACATATGTAGGTGGACATGTTGAAGCATTAGAGAGTGGTGTTTTTAGAAGTGACATACCTTGTAAATTTCGGATGGTATATATTTAAATTTTGTTAATATAAATTTTCTTTTTCAGGATTATAATTTTTAATTTTGCAAAATTTTTATACTTTTTTTTTTTTTTTTCTTATTTTTTAAGTTTTTAAATTAAAATTAAGTTGGAATCAACAATCAACAAACTCAGACGTAGTAACTGTTACAAATAAACTCAGACACAGTAACTGTTTCAAATAAAGTCAAGCACTACAACTAGTTCACCTCAGACACAGCAACTGTTTCAAATAAACTCAGACACTGCAACTTGTTCAAACAAACTTAAACACAGTAATTTGTTTATATCCATACAGGCATAATAAATAAATAATCAGTTTGTTAAGTATTAAAATTATTTTCATAACGTTTATATCAGGTTTTTTTTATTTTTATGTTATGTTTTTAATATGTATATGTTTATGTAGGTACCAGAAGCATTTCAAGGTCTTATTGATAATTGTTATGAAACACTTAAAACAACCATTGAAAATGAACATGGTGTACCAATTGATTGTGTAACAAACATTGATGAGGTAGAAAAAAATTATTTGGTTACTTTAAACTTAATTTACTGCAAGATATTAAAACTGAAATTTATTTTATAGCTTTGCAAAGAGATCTGTGATCAACTTGCTACATTGAGAGATACCCCAAATCGACTTGAGAAGCCATTAATCTATCATCTTGACGTAGCAGCTATGTATCCTAATATAATTTTAACAAATAGATTGCAGGTTCTTTGAAATTTTTAAATTAGCTTGTTGTATTAATACTTTACCTAGTGTCTGGAACTGGTGTGACTGAGGATCTCATTAAATATTTTCATAATGACATCAATACTTATATAATATTCAATAAATATATTTTTTTTGGTTTAAGAATTTTTTATGTTTTTTTGTTTTAATTTTAGCCTTCTGCTCTAGTTGATGAAGTTATATGCGCATCATGTGATTTTAACAGACCTGGTGCACGTTGTCAACGTAAAATGACTTGGATGTGGAGAGGAGATTTTAGTTAGAGTTTTCAGATTTTTTTTCTAATTTTATAGAAAGTTTAAAAAGTTATTGTTCTTTTAACAAAAATCAATTTTTTTTTTAATTTGTCATAAAGTAAGTAACATTTTGAAATAAAAATTTATAAGCGGCATTTTTCAAGATTTTAACAACATTTTCTTTAAAAAGCTTGTTATTCATGAAACCTCAATAAAGTTACACTTCTCTTCAGACTCAACTTGATATACTTTGAGAGAAAAACATTTTTATTAATATATGACTACTTTTATTAAATGAAAATATTTTTATTAATATATTTACTTGTTGAAAACTAAAGTTGGCTGAAATACTTTACTATTTATTAGGTTTACATAGAAAAAAATTTAAAAATTCCATTAAATAATTTATAGTTTAACTCTATCTATGTAATCCTCTTTGCAGCAATAACGGCTTTACATATTTTCTTGGCATTCCGCATTCCCATTTTTTTCATTTTTTTGAAGTCAATTTTATGCCACTCAATATTAAATTTTTTTTCACATATCTTTTGCACCGTTAAGTATTAATTTTTTGACATTTTTTTTTAATTCATTTTATAAAAGTTCAGTAGGAAAGAGATTGGTGATTAGGGAGGCCAAATCATTCTTTTCAATATTTGATCATTCTCTAACTCACTAAAATAATTTCTAAAAAGTCACTAAAATAATTTCTCACTAAAATAATTTCTAAAAACTAAATGAAGAATGCTTTGGATTGTTATCTTCCTGAATGGCTCCCTAAAAATCAGACTTACCAAAGCTATGGCATGACTTGTAAAATTTCTAAATACATTTCTTTTGCCATTATTTCCTTTATTTTTACGATATTACCTGTGGTAACATCATATACATCAAAACAGCCCCAAACCATAACACTACCACCATCATGTTTCACAGTAGGTATTACACACTATTTTTTCATTCATTCACCGACTTTTCTTTGGACAAATGATCTTCACTAGAAACCGAAGATTTGAAACTTTGACTTATTGGTCAAAGAATAAGTTTCCAGTCATCTATTGTCCATTTTTCGTGTAGTTTTGCCCAATTTAGTCTTTTTTATTTATTTTGAAGCTGAAGGAATGGTTTTCTTGCAGCTATTCTGCCACCAAGTCCTACTTCCATCAATCGCCTCTTCACCATTGTCACAGATACCAGAGGTCCTTGAGAAGTATTCAATGCATGTGTTGTTTCCAGAGCAGTTAATAATCTTTTTATTTTACTAGTGATTTTAGTTCTTTTGTCTTTGGCAGCAAATATAATTTGAGGGCATCCAGATTATTTTGGATTGACCACACTTCTAGTTTCCTCTTCCTTTCTTATAATAATCCAAACTGCTGAAGTCGAAATTTTGAATTATTTTTGCTATTTGACACAGAATATTTTTCTTGCCACAATGTGAATATTGCAGATCATTTTTTTATTGACAGTTTATTTTTATATTATCGCATTGAAATTATCAAAAGTTTTTCAATTTTAGATAGATAAATTTATTCTTATTCTCAATGCTTTTAATTTAGGTCCAGCAAATTATGGGGAATATCAAAATATAAAACAACAGCTTGAAGTTGAAAAACATCCCGGGAGATTTCCTAATGAGCCAACACGTTCTTTTCATAAACTTTCGCCGTTTGAACAAGCAGTCTTAGAAAAAAAAAGGTTGTCAGGTAGATAGATTAGTTAATAAATTTATAATTAAATTTTTTTGCAGACATTTTAAATAATCTCTTCAACTCAAATTTATACATACAAATTTTTTCATAAAAATTGTTTAATGAACTAGAATGACTGAAATGTGTCATTTTAGTGTAATTATTTTTTTTATTAAGCCTATTCCCACAAAGCATATAAAAAAGTAAAGATAACGAAGAGCGAGGTAAGAGAGTCAATAATATGTCAACGAGAGAACGCATTTTACATTGATACTGTTCGAGCCTTTCGTGATCGGAGATACGAGTTTAAAGATTTACTAAAGGTTATTCTTTTGGTTTTTTTTAAATTAGATTTTCAAAAATTTGTCTTTTTTTCTTATTTTAATTATGATGCTTTCATAGGTTTGGAAAAATAAAGTTTCAGCTGCAAAAGATAAAGGTGATCCAGCAGAAATAAAATAGTAAGTTATAAGTTGTAAATTTTTTTGTTATAGAAAAGTTAAAAAAAAAATAAAAAATTATGCAACTCAATGATGTACGTCAGTCTATTGCATAATAGACGATATTGTATAAAAGACTTTCTGTATATATATTATTGTACAATTGATCTTTTTCTGTCTAAAATTTTTCCTAAATCAAAAAAATTTTAGACATAAAATTTTATAAATTTTAAATCATTTGTTTTCATACATTTAAGACAAAATTTTAATTTTACAAATAAACAAACACTTAGGATGGCTAAAATATTGCAAAACAAAAAGTTAATCACTTAAAGAATAAGATGCAAAAATGTTGAAGTTTTTTTCAAAGAAATATAGTATTTAATATTATTAATCCAAACTTTAATATAAGTTTAAATAATACAAATCAAAGATTTTAAGTTTATTTTCAAAAAAAAAAAAAAAAAAAACCTTGTAAATTTTTTTATTAGTTGTAATAATAAACTTTAATATAAATAAAATTAACTATTAAATAAATATTAAACCTTAATATAAATAAAATGAACTTAATGTTTTTTTTGTTTTGCACAAGAAAAAAAGAAGTTAAAATAAAACCACTCATCACTACTATTTATAAGTTATGACACAACTAAATATGGTAGATATTCTTTTACAAATAGCTCCTGAAATTATTTAGTTCAGTCTGCATTTAATACTGATTGGTAGTCACTATGTTTTCAGAATGGCCACGACATAGTGTATGTATGTATGAAATGGTGCAGCCATGGAGCAGTGGTTAGAGCGCTTGCTTTATAAGCAGGAGATCCAGGTTTGAAACGAGCTTTGGACATATTTTGCGTCATGGTATAGAAAAAGGCATGAACTTTCTGGTTAAATGCACTTCCACGGTGCTCTGTGACAAGACCATTAGGATTTTTTGGGCACCTAAAATAACAAATTAAAAATAAAAATAAAAAAAAAAGAACAAATGTTAGACAAAAAAAAAAATTGTAGTTCACAGTGTATCATTTTTTGTTCAAGAGTTTTTACATGAAAATGTGTGCACTCTGGAAATAAAAACTAAACTAAAATTAAAAAAAACCAAAAGATTTAAATAAACTTAATTAAAAAAATTTTTTTAGTGCTTCTGGAATGGAGGTTTTGTACGATTCTCTTCAGCTTGCGCACAAGTGTATCCTAAACTCATTTTATGGTTATGTTATGAGAAAAGGGTTTGTTTTTTTATTATTGTTTTTTGTTATTACCATTAGGTATTTGTTGTCAAAAATAAATAAATATGAAAACAAAGTTTGTCAGGTTGTCAATATATTGTAACCTTTGAGTCCAGTTATAAGTTCAAGTCTATTTTAGGTGAATTTTTAGCAATTTATTTCAGCTAATAGTATATATATATATCTATTTACTTTCAACTTCACCAAGATTCATAATAATAATAGGAATAAATTGATAGAGTAAATTAATATAAATAAAATATGTGCAAAAATATAAAATAAGAGGGTCTACAGATTTTATTTGTTCTGTTCACAGCTGCTGATTGTTCTGTGAACAGGACAATCAGCAGTATTTTGTGAACAAATTGCAACTTTATTGTTGCTAAGTTTTAATTTCCTCATTTTTTAAACAATATTTCGACCATTTGAAGTGTGTGTGTGTGTGTGTGTGTGTGTGTGTGTGTGTGTGTGTGTGTGTGTGTGTGTGTGTGTGTGTGTGTGTGGAAATAGGAAAGAAGCAGCAACAATGTTGCAATCACCAGAGCATAGTTATTTAGTTATTTTGGTTACCACTATACATGTATATATATCAAAAAAATGAGGTCGGCAATTATTTGCTAACCTCAATCTTTTTGAGGTCAGCATTTTTTGCCGACCTAAAACATTTTCAGGTTGGCAGTTGCTGATTACTGACCCTAGTTCCAAGGGTTGATATATATATATATATATATATATATATATATATATATATATATATATATATATATATATATATATATATATATATATATATATATATATATATATATATATATATATATTTTTATAGTCATATTTTTTTAAATTTAGAAAGTTTAAATTTATGTAATTATAGATCACGTTGGTTTTCTATGGAGATGGCTGGAATTGTTTGTTACACTGGTGCACATATTATTACTGCAGCTAGAGAACTTGTTGAGCAAATTGGGTATTTGTTTATTATTTTTATGATATTTTATTTAAATATCATTTATTTATTAGTTATTATCTTCTTCAATAATTACAGTTTTATATACATTTTTATTCAAATTTGTTTCTTAAAATTAGTTTCAATGTTTCCATATATACTTTAGTATATTTAGTTTCCATATATACTTTAGTAAATTTATAAAATGGATATGTAATGTAATATAATATGTTAAGTATATATGTAAAAAATGTAATTATGCCCTATTTTATTTAACAATTTCCTAATTATATTATAACATGAAAATAACAATATAACCATGTATATAAAATCAATTCTAGTTTTTGTTTCTTTTTTCTTATTTTCTTATTATAGAGATTTTTTCCATAATGATAATAACTTAATTATTTATGCCCTGTTGAAAAGTCATGTATGTATGAATGTATGTATGTATGTATGTATGTATGTATGTATGTATGTATGTATGTATGTATGTATGTATGTATGTATGTATGTATGTATGTATGTATGTATGTATGTATGTATGTATATGTTTTTTAAAATAGAATAAAAATTTTTTTTTCATATTGATAATTTGCTATTAAACAATTATAATTTGAGTTGATAGTTTAAAATGAAAATAGAAAGTTATATAAATCAAATCAAACTGAAAATAAATAAAAATTTAACTAAAAACTTAAATAAAAAAAAATTAAAAAAGGATATCTTTAAAATCATGAATCTTTCCTTATATAGTGAGTATTTTATGTAATAATTATGGATAAAAAATTTTATATATGGATAGTTATGAGACATTTTTGCAAACTTTTAGGCTTTTATTTAGAATATAATATTGAATTTTATAATTTTTTTTCTTAAAAAGCTTTTTCTAAAAATTATATTTGTTTTTTAGTCGTCCTTTAGAGCTAGATACTGATGGTATTTGGTGCATTTTACCAGCTAGTTTTCCAGAAAACTTTCAGGTAAGATTTTTTTTCATAATCTATAACTTAATACAATGTACTATATAAATATGGCAGTAATGGTATAGCTATAGCTTGCGCTTGCCTACACACTTGAGTAACTCAGTTTACACTGGCGAAATATTTACTTCTTATTTTTTAAATTATTTTAAATGCAATTTCTTTTTTTTATACTTTTTTGTTTTGTATTTTTATATTTAGGTTAAAACAACACATCTTAAGAAACCAAAAATAACAATATCTTATCCTGGTGCAATGCTAAATTATATTGTTCAGGTTTTTTTTTAGTACTGTTTTTATGTAATTTGGGTTAAATTAATTAATGTAATGTTAAATGCATTTTAAGTTATTTGATTATATGTTAATGTTGTATATTTTTTCATGCAATGTTGCTAATTAATGTTGCTATGCATTTTTGCTATGAAAAACTGTATGTTTGGTAGAGTAATGTTGGAATATTGTTGTTGTTGACCAATCAAACATGCCATCAAATTTTCAACTGTTTGTCTTCCCCAGATTTACAATAAACACTAAAAACTTTATAAAATGTAAATGGTATGCATTTTGGGACAATGAAATACATTTTGAGACAAGAAATTTGTTTCACATCTAAAAACTCTTGCGAGAAAATCGAAAGAGTCGAAATCTCTCGAAATCAACATCAGAGTATGAAAAACATTTAGAAAATCTCTCGAAATGATACCAAAAAATATAAGAAATATATAGCTCCTATATTTCTCAACCATGGCAATATCCACAAACAGTTGGAGGCCTTTATTTAAAAAAAATATGTAAACAAATGAAACTAGTAATAATGACTAATTTTATATTTAAGATGTTATGGCTTATTTTTAATGTCTTTTTAGGCTTTTTTGTTTATCTTTTTTGCAATAATTGCTTTTCAATTTAATGATGATTTGTGCAAAAAATGCTTTTTCAATTTGATGATGCAAAAAAGGTCAACATATCACAAATAAAAAATGTAGTAAGCATATGCAAGCATAAGGTCTATATTTACATAAATTTCTTATACTTCCTTATAAAAAAGTCTTTTATAAAAAAGACTTTTTTTCATCATTAATTTGGTTTAATGTATAATCTATAAATACATAAATTTTTCAATAAGCTTACTACTAATGAAAGTTCAAAGCCATTTTTAAACATTGGAATAACGCAAGATAATTTTGACATATCAGGAAATCTTTTATTTATGATTGAGGAGTTAAATAGTTGAGTTCTATAGTCAAACAAAAAGTTCAAACAAGCACTGAAGTTCAGCAATATTGTATAAAATTATAATAATAATTTAATTTAAAAATTAAAAAATATATAATATTTTTAAAAGTCTTTAAATATTTTTACAATCATATTTTTGATGTTTATTGTATTAATATTTTTGTTTTTTATTTCATTAACATTCAAACCAATAATAAAGATTTAAATTTAAATAATTGAATTAATTTGCATGTATTTTTTAGCACAAGTTATATTTATAGTAACAATTTATAAAAAATAGTTGCAAAATGCTTTTAATGCATTCGTTGCAAGACATGGCACTATAAAATGTGAAATGTAATTAGAAATTAAAAAAATTTTGAAATTTAAACTTTGTTTGATTGGTTGTTTAGCATAGATTTCATGAAATCGAATTGTTATTAGTTGCAAGTTATGATGCAGGTTGATGATGCACTTCCTTGTCATTTTACTTCTGGTATTGAAGTTTTATGTGTTTACATGTGTTTTTGTTTTACTTACATACAGTTTGGTACAGTTATATCTTATTATGAAGGGTTCAGAATGTTTGTTATTTAGAAGTTTTGATTTATTGATATTAATATTGGAATGCACTCAGTGATGCAATAGTAAACTGTTTGAAAACATATAAATTTAAGCAATTGTTAGACTATTCAAGATAATAGGTAGCAAGGATATCCTTGCTACTTATTGCCATTTTGTTACTTTATTAAGACCTGTATCCTATTTGCAACTCAAATATTATTACTATTACTAATAGATTTAAAATCAAGTTCAATCAAGTTTTTGTGACTTTTAAATTGGAGTCCCAAAAAGGACTCCAGATTTAAAAGTCCCAAAAAACGGTTACTTCTTCCTAGTTTTTGGTATTTGAAAGGATAAGATAAAGTTAGTTTGGTTTTTGAAAAATAGTAAGTTCCAAGTCATTAAATTTCATGAACTTTTTTTTATGGCAGATCATTAGTCAACAAACATGTTTAGAGCTTCGGGACACTACAGACCTGAAAAAAGTAGGGATATAAAGCTGGATTCCTTTTGGGACTCCGCATCCCTGGTTTATTCACACACAGGCACACACATAATCATACATAAATCTTTGTATACTTGTTGCACAAAATGATAGTGTCATACTGAAATAGTCATCCCTGTGAGGTTTAGTACATAATTTGACATAGTTAGATTTATTTTATTAAGAGACTTAACTGGGTTTTAGTCTTAGGTTTGTTGAATTTTAGTTTTTAGATGTATAGTTTAAATTTTTAAAATTATAAACGCTTTTTAAAAAGTTTTAAATTTAAAAATAGTCTGGATTCACAAATGATCAGTACCACGATTTGATAAATCCAGAACATCTTGAGTATAAAGTACGAAGTGAAAACTCAATTTTTTTTGAAGTAAGTTGTTTCTTAGAACTAATAGTAAAACTACTAATGTTTACTGATAGTATTAGTGAATAATATACAAAATGTATGTATTTATAAATATATATGTATATATATATATATAGGTTGATGGACCTTATAAGGCAATGATCTTACCGGCATCTAAAGAAGAAGGTAAAAAGTTAAAAAAACGGTAAGATTGCTGTTTATATTTATCATGATATCTAAATATAGTAAGTCTAATAGAATCATACACTTTACAAGGCTAACATTCATTATAAATCTGCAAAAAATATATAAAATATATATAAAATTCATTATAATTCTTTTATATATAAGAATTATAAAAATTGTACTCTTTTTTTAACTGTATAGTAGCTTAGAAATGTTAAATTATTAAATTTAGGTATGCAGTTTTTAATGAAGATGGTACTTTGGCTGAATTGAAAGGTTTTGAAGTTAAGAGACGTGGAGAATTGCAACTTATTAAGATATTTCAATCATCTGTATTTGAATCATTTTTGGAAGGAAAATCATTGGAATCTGTTTATTCTTGTGTTGCTAAGTGTGCTGACTATTGGTTGGATGTTCTTTATAGCAAGGTTGTTAAATTCATTGTATTCCCTGTAGTCCCTGGTAGTACCGCGCTCAACTCGTTTCTCCGCGCAGCGGCCTTGTTCATCAAGGTTCGTGTTTGGGGGTTATAGAGTTGAGAGAGGGTTATAGCCACAAATAAGTAGCCTCTTCGTCTGTAGTGGCCTTCTCGGCCTTGAGGAGGTGAATTAAAATAAAAATAAAAAATAAAAAAAAAAATTTGTGTGTGTGTATGTGTGTGTGTGTGTGTGTGTGTGTGTGTGTGTGTGTGTGTGTGTGTGTGTGTGTGTGTGTATGTAGCAAACACACTCACACACATATGTGTTTATTTTGGTTTGTATAAATAAGTTAAGCTTATATAAATCAAAATATAAAATTAAATTAAAGACTTTAAAAAAACTGTTGTAACAGTAAATAATGAGTATTTTAGCTAATTCAATTGGCTTTAAATGTGCAAGTTAAATGTTAAGTTTGAAGTCATTTCATATTTTGAATGAAAGTTTTTGTTTTTATTACAGTAAATTAGATTGATTTTTTTGTATATATTTTTTATAAAAATTTCTAACTGCATCACCTTGACCTTTAAAACTAAAAGTTGATAATAATTGATAATATGATCAATAATTCTTGCACACACAAAAAGTTAATAGTTATTTGTTATTCCTGAAATGTTTAGAGTAAAGTTAAAATGTTTAGACTAATTGAAACCTGAATTGTTTAGAGTTCTGTATAAGCCATTATTTTTTATTTCATGTAAATATATGTACATGAAATAAAAAATTATATTATATATTTGTGTATAAATTATTATAATAAAAAGTTAATGTTTATATTTTTTTTTGTAAAGTTTTGAACATGTTTTTTAAAAAAATATTGCAAAAAGCAAAATTTTTTTCCAAACCTGCACAATAGGAATTCTTATTTAGAGATAAAACACTGCTTACCATACCCTCTTGTCGATAAGATAAAACACTGCTCATCATAACCTTCTTGTCATTGCTATAAAAGGTCTAGAAAGATTTCTAAAAAGATCTTGTTTCTTTACTTTAAAGTTACGATTGTCAAATATTTGTCAGTTATAATGCAAACATCTGAATTTTTTCAGATTTTTTCAAAACTTTTTAACAATTAGTTATGTTTTTGTAACAGTAGTTATGTTTTTGTAACAGTAGTTATGTTTTTTACTAACTAAGAGGGAATAAAAAACATAATAACACAGTGACATAAAATTCAGTGAAAAAGTTTTAGTAAATTTTCATAGAAATTTTGGCAAAGTCATGGAAAAATTGTGGATTTCATTTTTAAATATGAGTGGCCACCCTGACTTGTTATGAGTTCATAATTGATTGGACAATTTGTTATGCGTTCACAATTGGTTGGACAATTTGTTATGAGTTCGCAATTGGTTGACAATCATGCCACTTCTGATTTATAATATTCCACTTCTGTTAAATATTCACATCTTGCACCTTTTTATTTCCAAACCCTTCATATAGTTACAACATCTTTCCTTTTTTACAACATCTTTGTCCTTTTAAGTAATGCTCCAAATCTTCCTGACAATCATCTTGTCTGTTTTTTTCACACGCTGCAAATCTTTGGTGGCCATACATTATAGCACACATTTTGGATATTCTGTATAACTTTTTACCTCTTATGTTAAAAGTCTAGATATACCTCTTATGTTAAAAGTCTTTATACTTCTCTGAACTTGACTCATCAAGCTCTTGCAGTTAATTCCTACATCTTGTTCAAACAAGTATCCTATATATTCAAGGTGTTAGCCAGTCTGATGGCACCATGTATAACGCGGAATCCTCAATTGGTTTAAAATTCCCAAAGGTTCATAACATCATAGTAAAAAAAAAATTAAGTCAGTCTCAGATTTAAAGTGTCGCGCTAAAAAAGTCACAAGTAAACAAAGGCTATTAGTAAGCACAACGAGGAAAAGAATTATGTTGAATGATTTTTTTTATGTGTAAAACCGTGTCGTCGTTAACATTAATATTCATTTAAAAGTTGAAAAAAACTTTTTTATTTTATTTTTTATTTTTATTATTGTCAATATATAACGATTATAAAAATAATCTACGATATAGTAGTATCAGGATTAAATAAAATTTTTTAAGAATTTCTAGAATGTTTCCAATGACGTCATGCACTAAAACTCCTATGAATTAAACGCGCTTGAATAAATTATCAAGTCTGTATAATGCGCCTGGAAAATCGCGTTTATTTTACATACTCAAAATACCAGAGAAAACGGAGAAGACGAGCTTCGACTAAAACAACAAGATTTGTTTTTCTTCGTATACATTTATAAATTAGTTTTAATCAAAAAAATTTGCTCAGACGTTTTTTTTTAACATTCTCTTTAATATGAACACAACATGTCTCGGGACTTGGTAGTCCCTTTAACCAATATTTATAAATGCAAAAATTAATTTTTTTTCAAATTTACAAATACAAAATTTACATGTATATACAAAGTTTAGCTTTTAGCCCTGCCTCAAGGCGGTCAATCTTACATATAATGTGTGGTGTTTTTATCAACAGTTGTCAGTTAAAAAATTGTTTTAGCAATTTGAAAAGTAACAAGAGGATTGTCAAAATCATCAAAAATGTTTTGATTAAAATAGAGCAAAGTAAAAATTATAATATAATAATTCATTCATTAAAACTGCAAACAATTATCTTTTGTTCTTGTTTTCTTTCTACTATATCAAACAAAGTAGTTAAAGCGATTTAAAAATGAAAACTTATACATAGCTCAAAATGAAACAAGTTGAAAAAATACGTCATTACATTACATGAAATTTTCATTACGCACCTAAATTTCGAATTTCGCAAAAACCCTGTATGAACTTTTTTCCTGGCTAACACCCTGATATTAAAATCGTATTAGCACATATTTTAGAACCACAAGATCTTCTCGATTATCTAGATTTTCCTAATAACCTCTTTTCACTCCAAAATGCTGCTATCCGCTATATTATTTGAAATTAAAAAATTGAAATAAAAACTACATATAATATATTTTTTCTAAGTTTAAAATAACGACCACATTAATATTGAAAAAGTGATATTGAAAAGTTAAAATTGAAACTGAAAGTAAAACTTAATGAATAGTTTGCTTTAAACTTCAACATTGTAACAAAAAGTGAAAATGCTGAAATATAAATGTTGAAATGGAAAAGCTGAAAATTTGATTTGAAAATTTTTGCTTGAAATTGGATTGCAAAGTTTTTGTATTTTTTTATTGCCATATTTGTATAAGCAAGTTTTGAGATTTCAACCAAAAAAATGTTAAAATCCATGAAAGATTTTAAAAAATGATGAAAATTTTTCATTAGGCAATCGTATTTTATTGTATGAAAATATCTACAGATTTATATAAAAATGTTTTCTTTACTTAATAAAGTTAAATAGTGTGAAAACCAAAAAAAAAATGTTTTAGTTTTGCACCCTTTCACACCCCTACCAGTTGAACCTTTTTTTACCCAGTATGACTATTTAACTAAAGCAGGGTTTAAAAAAAATTTAAATATTTAAATATGTTATTTTATATATTTATTCTGTTTTCATATTCACATTTAACAAAATGTTGCAAAGAGAATTATTTGAAGGACGTTGTAAATAAATGTGCCTTGCGCATAAAATAATACATTGTCAGACAGGTTTAGGGTTTTGTTTAGGGAATAATGTAAACAAATACAATATTTTTTTTTTTTAAAGTCATTAATTTTACAATATAATTTTTTTTAGGGTGAAACTTTACCTGACAATGAGCTTTTTGAGTTAATTTCAGAAAATCGAAGTATGTCTCGCTCACTTGATGACTATGGCTCACAAAAATCAACATCAATCAGTACTGCCAAGCGTCTTGCTGAGTTTCTTGGAGATCAAATGGTTAAAGATAAAGGCCTTAGTTGTCGCTTCATAATATCATGCAAACCTGAGGGCTCACCTATAACAGAAAGAGCTATCCCTCTAGCCATTTTTCAAACAGAAGATAGTATTAAAAAACATTATTTAAAACGATGGCTCAAAGTTCAGGACAATTTTGACTTTGATATAAGAAACATTTTGGATTGGAATTATTACATTGATCGTCTAAACAGCTGCATTCAAAAAATAATTACAATACCAGCAGCTATGCAAGGAGTAAATATATGTTTAAATAATAATGATAATATTAGAAATAATAATAGTTATGATAGTTATTAATTGTATTATAATTAATATAATAGTAGTGGTTGGAAAAATTAAATCAAAAAAAATATTTTGTATTTTTTAATTTTTGCCAGATTGCAAATCCTGTACCAAGATGTAGACATCCTGACTGGTTGCACAAACGATTACTTGAAAAAAATGATGTTTTTCAGCAAAAGCGAATAACTGATATGTTTTCTAAAGTACCAGAAGTAAGTGTTTTGCAGATCGAATCACTTTTTTGTTGTATCTGGTTTTTTTTTCTTATAAACATTTACACAACATTTTATTTACAACATTTTGTTGTAATTTTGTTGTCATTTTTTTATACACAACATTTTGTTGTCATTGTCGTTTATTTTTTTAATTTAATTTTTGTTTTAATATTTTTAGTTTCATTAATTGAATAAATTTTTAATGAATATTTAATGTATTGAAATAAAATTTAAAAAATTTTAAAATAGGGCATTTTAAAAATGTATTGAAACAATATATAAATTATGATTTAAAATCTAGTTGGTTGAGAAAGAAAATAGTGTCACAGATTTAGAAGACATTGTTGGCAAACGATCTTTAACTTCTCCATCAATGCCTGTGGTCCATAAGAGAAGAAAAGTTGATAAAAATGTTGAAAATTCTGAGTTTATGGAAAGTGATTTATTAAAATCTTGGAGAGAAGTCTTAGGAAGTCCTCCATCTATGGGTGCAACTAAAGTAATATTTAATATATAACAAATAGTAATGTATATTTAATATATAATATAATGATAATAAATATTTTTTTTTACTTCTATGCTTATTAAGAAGTTAGATATAATATATATATATATATATATATATATATATATATATATATATATATATATATATATATATATATATATATATATATATATATATATATATATATGTATATATATATATATTTTAGCTATTTCAATTTTTCTAACTTGTTATATATTTGTAGAAATAATTTGATAAAACTTTTTTTTTAGGAAGACCAACATGCTTGGATTTTGTTCCATAAAAGGAAATGGTTGTTCCAGAAACTGCAACGAAATGCTGCTCGCAAGTCTCGGGAGAAATTAAAAAATAGCAATATGGCAGACAACTTTGGTGACATACGAAGGGTTAATCCACAAGCAGGACTTTCTAACTTTTTTAAAAAACAGACAAGATCGATTCTTGAATGTCATTGGGAAATAATACAGGTTATAATTTTAAATACAGTTTATTAATACTATAACAGCAAAGACATGTTTATGTTGTTATAGTAGGTTAGATATTATTAGTAATTTAATGTTGTTTTATTTGTTTAAACTATTTATTTTCAAACATTTAATTTAAATAAGTAATCTTTAATTTATTATAATTGTTTTATATATTTTAATATTAATAATTTTATAATTATTTCAATATACCTGCTCCTGCAGCCAACCTTCAACCATTATCACATCGTCTTAATGTTGCTTTTCTTTCTCTTTTCTACAAATACTATAATGGGCACTGCTCTAAAGAGCTAGCGTCTCTTGTGCCATCTACTAAAATTCACTCTTGTGTTACTCGTCACTCAATTAAGTCTCATCCTATTTCTGTTACTGTTCCTAAGTACTCCAAAAACTCTTATTCGTCTAGTTTTTTACCTCAAATTTTAGTTCTTTGGAATTCGCTTCCTTCATCTTGCTTTCCTGATTCATATAATTTGCAATCTTTTAAGTCGTCTGTCAATCGTTATCTTGCTCTACAATCTTCACCTTTTCTCTTTCAGTAACTTCCAACACTAATTAGTGGTTGCTTGCAGCCTTGTTGGAAGCAAAGATGTTAAAAAAAAAAAATGATAAAATAAAACTTTTAATATTGCAATATTATAATATAATATTATGTAAATATTTATATGTAAAATTTTAATTTATTGTAATTTTTGTCTATATTTAAAGTGTTTTTTTGCCTATATTTTTGTGTATTTTAATATTTTAAAGTGTTATTAGTATTTTAACCTCCTTAAGGATGTGAACTAAAATAACAGTTTTTTAGAAAATAGAAATAAAAGTTTTTCACAGTTTTTTTAGTTTTTTATTTTATTTTATTTGCAACTCTCAACTTTCAATCCCAAAACCAAAAACTACCAACAGAGACATAGCGTGGATTCGAATCCTTTGGGTTTTTAACCTAACCTTCTACCACTAGCCTCTACTACATGTTTTATTATATATAGTGGTTTAAAAACTGGTTTTTAAACCAACAATTTATTTTTTAAGTTCAACAAGTTTCTTTCAACAACTTTTGTTTATTGAACTGTTTCTATAATACTATTTCAAATTTTTTTTTTGATTTATTGATATTCATTTTTTATTTAAATTAAAATATGACAAAAGTTGAAACCATTTTTTAAAAACTCTGGATGTCCTTTCTAGAATTAACCTGTTTAGCAGATAAGGATTTTTATTGTGATATTTAAGATGGTTGCTATCCAAAAAACTTATTGCTGATTTCTTTACAATCAAAGTGTATGCACCACTAACCCTTTTCAAATTTTGTATTAAGCTATTAAGTCTGTGAGTTTTTATTAATTGGTTGGTTTATCATTTATTATTGGTTTAATTAGAATTTTAAAGACATAAAATCTTTATTATTTCTTTCTTTTTAAATTCTTTTCAGATAGCTGAAACAGATACTCCTGGTATTTTCAACTTATTTGTGATGGTAAACAATGATCTTCATTCTATCAATGTAACAGTACCACGCGTTTTTTACGTCAACTCTCGTAAACTTAAATCAGGAGATGGTGCAAGTAATTATACATATAATATAATATACTAATTAGTAACGGTTTTAATAATAAAGATGTTGTGATGAGTTATATTTCAAAATACATATGGTAATATTATGCGTTATAATAGTCTACATAGTTTAGAATTTTAAGGTTTAAGTTTATTATCAAAGTACCCCGAAAAAGTTAATAAAAATAGTAATATGGATGTCTTGACATTTCATTTTCATTATCAGAAAAATCTGAGTATATATTTTTAGAAAATTGACATTAAAAATCTGCCAAAAAGTTTTAAAGGTCAAATTAATAAATAAATTGCTTTATTATAATTATCAAAGTTAAAAAATAAATTTTAAAAATAAAATAAATAAAAAAGCTCAAGCTCTGTAATTTTGCTATAAATAGGTTGAATTTTTTCTGCTTGAAAATCAGTTTAGAAACATAGTATGCCACACAGTTCCATGGCTAGTGGGTCTTAGACTCCCCCCCCCCCCCCTTCCTCTTAAAAAATCTTTCAAAATCTTTAGTGCCCCAAATACTTTTAAAATTTTTTACTAGGTATTACTCATATATAATAACATTATATAATAAATACCAAATAAAATATTTTAAAAATAAATTGTATTTACTATTTTATTTTTTTTAAACATTATTTCAACATGATTTCAATATTGTTTCTGCTATATATGTTCAATGATTTATAAATTCTTCGAACTGAAGACTATTATTGCTATACTGTGAGACTGCAAATCTGTTTATAACATTTTTTATATTGGAATGGTAAAATTTGGATATCTGCTTATTAAACTGTTCAAAAAAGAGACCACTCACACAAACAATTTCTTCCAGATTAGCAGTTACAGTTTGTACCTTCTAGGTAACTATGAGCTGTTTACCTAAAAACTAAATAATTAAACTTTTAACATAAAATTAACGTAAATCAGTAACTTAGATTAAAATTTTAAAAGAGTACTACAATTACCTCTCTGCAATAGTCTTGCACATCTTTGAAACTTTGAGTAAAACTTCTAATCAAAACTAAATAGTTTGACCTTATTAAACTTTCTCATTGTTTTCATGAGAGGGCACAGTTTTTATTAACTAAAGTTAATCAAAACTTTTAAGTATTTCTCTACATGTGTTTCCTTCAAATGTTCTTCTGTGGTATTCTTTCCAAAGGCATCCAATTCTTATTATCCAATTGGTAAATCCAATCCAAAGTTGCATTATAAATAATGCCACCTGGTTAAAAAATCCATCAGAAGGTCAAGTTCTGGTAACAGAACTTCTCTTATTATAGTTAAGGAAACCTCCAGAAAATAGTTTAGAAGAACATTTGCATTGAGCACAGGCATATTTTTCTCCATTAGCCAATTTTTTATAATAAGTTAACTAAGTTAAATATATTATTGAATAAATAAAAACCTATTATTGGGTAAGAAAAATTACATTTCTAAAAATAACACCATATGTAGAATAATTATAAAACATATCAAAATTCCTAGCAAAATGTTGATTAACTTCATATTAGATGCCAAAAAGTATTTGCATTAATGCAACTTTAATCTCTCAACAAGTAATATCTTTGCCGTGTTAGAATGGTTCTCACTCAGCTTTTCACAATAGGCTAAAACAAGTGATAAGTTAGTCCTTGAGTATGTTCCTCTGGAACTAATATCTTCTGCCCTGTTTTTAGTAGAATCAAACAGATTTACTATAACCTTTAATCCTCCACCAATTTTTCTTTATACTACAGTCTTTCTGTGTGTGCCTTTCAGAAATAAGGCTCTTGATTGGTTGATGTTGAAAGTGCATCAACAGGTGGGGTAGTCGTGCGATTGGTCGAGGATGGGTACTAACAGATGAGATGGTTATATTATTGATCAAGAATATAGCCTCAGTAAATGAAGACAGCGATAAATCTTCAACATTTGATTCATCATTTTCTGATGATTCTGACAAAAAGTTGTTTACTTTTATTCAGGGCTTTTTTCACATTTGACTTGAACTTAAACCCACTTTTTCGCAACATTTTCAATATTTTATATGACTTAAACTAAGTCCTAAAAGTATTTATTAAAGCATTTACTTCATTAAAAGGAATTCTTTCTCTGAGCACCTTCTGGGATACCAAGAGTAACATGAATACTTTTGCCTCTTTAATATTAGCATATTATTTATATTATTTTTTATAATATTAACAAGTATTTTTTTTAAGAATCTTTAATTACTTTTAAGTATTTTTAAAAAATAAAAAGTAATTATGATAGTCCTGAGAATTTCAATAATTATATATTCTTATTCTGAAAAGTTGAAAAACTCTGAAAAAGGGAAAAAAGAAGTATAAAAATACCGTTTTTTTTTTACTAAAATAATAAAATTTAATAATGTTTATATAATATTAAAATAATTATTGCAGTTACGATTGAACAAATAAAGAAAATGTTAAAAAAAATGTGTAAGAAGTTTAAGAAGGAAATTGAAGACATTTATTTATTTACTCCTGAAATTAAATTTAGAATTTCTTTTATTTAAGGATTCATTAAGTTGGGTATTTTTTATTTTGATTAGCTTGTGTTTTGATTGCGATTTAGAAGGAGAAGAACCTGATGCAACATCTTCCATTGAAACACTTTTTCCTGGTGAAACCTTAACTTTTTTCCCACGCATTATTGCCCCAGGCTTTTTAGCAGAAGCTTCTCGAAGTTCTGCAAGACGTTCAAGAACTAATGGGGAAACTAAGTTCTGAGAAGATTTAGAGATGTCTGTCCTTAAAATCTTGTCAATGATTTTTTTTCTGTTTAGTGGGTAGATACCAGATGTTTTGAACCTATTTACAGAGAACTCTTGTAATTTAAACTTTTTTAAAACTTTTAAAAATAATCTGATAAACAATATCTTGGCATAATGGATGTTTAATAGAAAATTTTTTTGCCAATCATAAGCAATCATTCTTAAAACATATAGTTATATTTCTAAAAAATGTGTGTCTATAAGAAAAATTTGAAATAATTACACAAGCAAACCAAAAACGTTTAATAAATAAAAAATTGAAATTGATTTTCTAAATGCAGATATGAAAATAATTATATACATATATTTTACTTTGGAGGAAAAATACAACATAGAAAACCCCTGATTTTTTTGAATTAGTCATCCTTGATGTTGATGAAGACAAATTGAATTTTTCGTACAACATATAATACAATAAAATATTTGTACCTTTGTTTCCTCAATAGACTCAATGAGATCATGAAATGACTAAATCACCTAAAACGGATAAGATAATTTATAAGTAGAGTTAGATAATATATAAGTATTTATAAGTAAGTAATATATAAGTAGACCTGATTTTACAACATAGGTAATTAGATGCATAAGCATATGCTCAAACCAAGCATGTTACTATTTGAGTCTTTGAGAATCGAAGTATTGAATATTTTATTGTAATTTTGATCAGAAATAAAAAAAAAAGTAGTCTTGAGAAGAAGGAGAGCGAAAGCGATTGTATGTGCATAAGGGTGTATAGGTGTAATGTGTAAGTCTGTGCTGTTTATGTCGTTCAGTAGAGTCTTGTATTGTTAGTAACCAGCGTAAAAGATTTGTCTCTGAACTAAACCAAGCAAGCCCAGCCATACTCCAGAAAACCATGATGGATTAAGCGAAAAAAGAGAAAGGCGAGTAAAGTGTTTCTAAACAAAAGTATAGTCTGTGGATTCATTTCATATAAATCTTTTAATAATTTTATGATCATGTGGTTTCAAATAATCTGAGAAATTGAGTACGACATCTGAGAAATCTGTGCGTGCGACAAATCAAATCAAAATCTTTAGAGTTGTATTGTTCTTATGAATTTTTACGAGCCAGAAAATACTGGAAAAATTAACTTTAAAAGATGTCCAAAACGTGTATAAGACGTTTAAAAGACGTCTTTTTTTCGTCTGTGTCCACTGGGACGTTTACCTTACAAGATTTTCAAATTACAAATATGAGCAACCTAAAATGCACTATTTGGTTACCAAGTTTTCTATTGCTATCAGAGGTCATAAGTTATGAAACACTTTATTAAATCCTCTGACCAATCTTTTATAAGCTTCCACCTAGCACCAAATTTTGCTTCTTTTTGTTACAAAGTAATTTTGTTAAAAATGTTCTTCATTATTCTCATTCTCAAGACTGCACTCTTTTAGATGTAATTTTATGAGTTTTAAAAAAAGTTTAAATTACCAGAGTTTTCAAATTATAGGAGTTCAATCCTAAATATTAAATCATGAAGATCCAAAGATTTTGTTTGATTACAAGAGTTTGTATCTGTGTGTATCTTGTGACAAGATACAAGAGTTTGTATCTGTCTGTATCTTGTGACAAGATTTTAAACAAGGTTTTGTGAATTTAAAATTACACAAAAATTATTTGTAAAATTATTTGTAAATAAACCTTTTGTTAAATAATTGCATATCTGCGTCAATAAAGCCGTTTAGTAAGATCTAGATTTGTGATTGTAGATTGATCCTAGATCCTAGATCTTGTTTTGTGCTCTTAGATTCTGCTCTTGATCAGAATAAATTTCTTTTAGAAGTGATGAGGCTACTTGTTTCTTTACTTGTTTCTTGTTAGTAGATAGTGAAGTGATTTTAGAAGTGGCTACTTGTTCCTTTACTTTTTTTTGAATCTTTACAAATGCTCTCAGTAAAAATTTCGCTAGTCATTGAAAATGAACATTTGTGGGATTTACCTTGAGCAGTTTCACATAAGCATGTTTGGCAAAGTTTCAGTGTTGAACTAGATCCCTGTTTTATACCTTTAATAAAAAATTTCTGTATAAACTGCATAATAATGAGAAGTTTTCAAGCATAATTAGTATTTTTCCACTTTAGAGTAACTGAGTCTGAGTAACTGAGCCTGAAACACATTTTACCAGCTTTGCAAAGATGTAAGTTTTCCTTACCTGGGCATAATCCTGTAGGGTAGGTGGAATCTTTCAGTGAATACTCTGACTTACAGAAAACTTGAACTAGACCTTGCAAATTAATTTATTTGTTATTTTTTCAAGCAACTGCAGTTGATCTTTTGAAAAAGTTTATGATTTGGTTTGAAATTATATTCTCCACTCTTTTTAGAGAACTTTAGTATTTAATATATTTAATAGCTAAAATAAAAAAAAATTATAAATAATTAATAAATACAAAAAGTTTCTTAGAAAATGTTTTTTCACCAACTTAGAGCAGATGTTAATGCACTAATGCAAAGCTAAAGTGCTTGAAAAGTCGGTATATGGACATGTGCATTTTATTTATTAAATTTTAAACCTCTGTTTTTTTGAGCATATTTTCAATGTCAATTTTCTAAAAATAAATTTTTTTTTAAATAAACCTTTCAAATTTTTCTAAGGATGGAAATGTCCAGAAATGAGGATGGAAAATCCATACTACTATTTTTATTAACTTTTTTATACTTTTTTACTAGTAAACTTTAACTTTAAATTTCTGAACATTGTCATTTATAATTAAACTTTAATTTTAATTTATTATTAAATTTTAGTTTATTTTGTATTTTCTAACTCATTTGATTTAAAAAAAACTTTTTAGCATGGCGAAAAGTTAACAAAATTCTTCCTCGATCCCAACCCTCTTTTTTTTTGTATGAGTATTCAATACCAGAAGTCATTTATAAAGATTATAGCAGGTTTTTAATTTAGATTGCAAATAAAAATAAATAATAAATAAATTAAGTAATAATAATAATTTTGAATTAATATAAAAAAAAAATAATAATTAGATATAAATAAATTAAAAATTTCTTTTTTTATTAGTTTTTTCATTGAATTTTCTATATTTATTTATTTGTAGTGAGCTTGTTGCAGACTTGTCTTCACCTGATATTGAAGGGATCTATGAAACACAGGTTTGACAATTTTTTGTGTTCATTAAATATCGTTTCAGTTAAAACAATTAACTGCAAGTTTCTTTATTTCTGAAAAATTTTTTTCTTTTAAAAATACAGTTCTAACATTTTTTTTATTATCAAATTTATCTCTCAAACCTCCAGAGTTACCCCTCCCCCTTCCTTCCCTGCCTTCTCCCCACCTCCCTTACCCGCACTCCAGTCAAGGAAGCTACTCTTTTTTTTTAAATTTCATTTAAACTTTTGAAACATGAATTAAAGCAAATACATTTATGTAATAGGTAATTTTTTATAGGTTCCACTAGATATTCGTGCTGTGACAAAGCTTGGCTGTTTATGTAAAGTCCACAGAAATGTTGCAAGAGCATTAAATGGAAGAGTAAAACATTTTTTTTTTTCTAATTGTGTGTGTGTGTATATATCGTATATATAATTGTGTGTGTGTGTATATATATGTGTATATATATGTGTATATATATATATATATATATATATATATATATATATATATATATATATATATATATATATATATATATATATCAGGGTTCCCACACCTCTTTAAAAACCTTAAATATCCTTAAAAAATAAAAACCTCCTTAAATGTCCTTAAATAACCTTAAAAAAAGTTTAAATTTGACTGCTCTCCTTAATTTCTCCTTATTTTTTTTTTTGTTTATCTAGAAAATTTTTTTAAAGTAAATTGGTTATACTTGTTAATAAAGAAGATAATATATAGATTTTTGATAGCTTTCAAACCTATTTTTTATATATATTAAATATAAAGTAATAACAAGTTCTCTGTATTTAAAATTTATGGAAAAAAAAAAATAAGATTATGTTTTTAATGTAATCGTTTTCTCCTTAATTATCCTTACTTTTCTTTCAAAAAAATATTGTTCGGGACCATATCTCCTTAAATATTAGGAAAATATCTCCTTAAATCTCCTTAAAATCATTAATTTTAGCCTTAGTTTTAAAAGTGGGAATTAGTTTTAATACTGCTGCTACATCGACTCTCAGTCGATGTAGCAGCACTCCACTGTGAGTCAGGCTATTTGTCAGTCAATGTATGTACTGAAGCCCTCAGCAGCATGCTATTTCAGTATGACACCAGATTGCTTACCTTAGTACGCAATACTATTTGTATATATATATATATATATATATATATATATATATATATATATATATATATATATATATATATATATATATATATATATATATATATATGTATATATATATATATATATCTGTGTTAATGTATGTATTTATTTATGTATGTATGTATGTATGATAGTTATATATACTTTGTGTTATATAATTTTCTGTTGGTAATAAGATTTCAAAGTTTTCAATTTTTAGAAGTCAAACGTTATAATTTTTATTAAACTCGACTTGTTTAAGTGTTAAAAAAAAATTGTTCAATTTTTTTTTCAACACTTAAACAAAAATAATCTATTGATAGAATTTTGTTATTTATATTTTTAGGATGTAGATTCGTTTGATATAAGTCAACTTGATTACAAAACATTGGCAGAACATTCTTACTTGGAATCTCAGTCATTAAAACATTTATTCTTTTATCATGCCCAACTGTGAGTCGTTCTTTCAATTTCTCATATTTTTAAGATTTTTTTACTAAACGTGTACTATTATACAATTTATTTTACATTTTTATAGTTCTAAATATTAATAATGATTTTACTCATCATGAATTTTTTTTTAGTGAAAGTCGTGCTGTTTTTGTAATTTTTTTATCTCCTCTACAAAAAGTAATTTTTTAATTTTTTTACAAAATTAAACTTAAGCTATTGTAAATTGTTTTATATATACTTTGTTTGATTATACATTTTTTATTAATGATATATGTTATTATCATGGAACTTAAAGTGTGATGCCATTTGCAGTTATCAGTCATACATATATTTTAAGTCAACATTGTGGAAAATACAAAAATAACACATGAATGAATTCTGATCTTGAAACAATAAAAATACAGCCAGGTAGTGTAAAATTGGATTAATCACCAATGTCAAGTTATAAATTGGATTAATCACCAATGTCAAATTAAGAATTGGATTAATCACCAATGTCAAATTAAGAATTTGTTTCTTTTGCATTTAGATACTATTTCTCTCTTATTACTTAAATTTGAATTTTGTATGAATAGAATCTTTTTATATATGCATAGTTTACAGGGTTCACAGGATTGCCAAATTACATGAAGCTTTAATTTCCATTATAAACTTGTATATTTTGTAATATAGTTAAATTTTGTATATGTTTTTGTAATATGGAATATATATATATATATATATATATATATATATGTGTGTGTGTGTGTGTGTGTGTGTGTGTGTGTGTGTGTGTGTGTGTGTGTGTGTGTGTGTGTGTGTGTTCTATTAGTAATATTTATGATTTTTTACTTAACTCTTGTTGAAAAATTGTTTAGACATGTGTGTTTATTTTAGACATATGTGTTTATTTTAAATACTGTTCGAAGCAACCAAATGCCAAACTTAGCAAACATGTATACAACAGAAAGGACCAATAGGTTAGATTATAACATTTTTCAATAGATTAGATCATAACATGTTTTGTTAGCTTCAATTCTAATATGTTTTATAATGAATGACTAATAGATGATAATATGTTTCAATATTGATTAATGTTCTTCTACTATTAATTAATTATTTGAACAATCATTCATCCAGATTCATCAAAATTTTTTATTTGGAATTTTATTTTAATGTTTTTAACTTATTTAGAATTCTTGAACGAAAAGAACAAGATGAAGTATATAATCCCCCAGAAACTGTGTCTTTCACATTTGATGTGCAAGTCGAAACAGATTCTAAAATAGTAAAAAAATTTCTTAAATTTTTAAACTTAATATATATATATATATATATATATATATATATATATATATATATATATATATATATATATATATATATATATTAAAAATGTTAGTTTGATGTAGCTATATAGATGTATCACTTTTGCCATGTTTTATTAAAAAATTGACATAAATGTTGAAAAAACTCCAATTCATTTTAATAGATTTCTCTGTTTTAAATTTTGTTTGTATTTTCTATTTTTTAATGTTGACATAATCCTCAACACTAATTTTTAATGATAACATCATCAATCTTATATTGTTTTGTTACAAAAAATCTCAAAAGAAACACAAAAAACAGAATTGTCCATTTCACAAAAAGAGAATATTAAGACTTTGAATCGTTTAACAGTTGCTCTAGTTGTTGTCAGTGTAATTATATAATACACACACATACACACACATACACACATACACACACACACACAAAATCTCAAAAGAAACACAAAAAACAGAATTTTTACACTAAATGCGTCCAGAGTGTTATGACTTAAATAGTGATAATGGATGAATATGTAAAATGACTCAAAAAGGTATTAAAAAAAAAGTGACAATCTAAGACAGAAATTGAGAATAGTAATTGTATATGTCATTGTCATTAAAAATTAATGTCACATAAAAAAGTATGATGTTCAAATCTTACTTTATTATGTATGAAAATCAAAAAAATATGAAAGTTAAGTAAACTCATTTATTGAGTTTAAATGGCTGCCACCAAGCTTATATTTTAACTTTTTTTAAAAAACTCTGAAAATTAATTTTTTTAGATATCTGATCACCACAAAATACATTCAAGTTTTTTACATTAGTTTTTTTATTAGTAGTAGTTAGTTTTTTTTGCAGTTTTCTAACAAGAAAAAATAAATAAACATTTACAGTATTTTTTATTTTATTTTTTTTATCTCAGTACATATCTAAATTCATTTTTTATTTATTTATATTAAATATAGAATCAGTAAACAAGTATTTTTATAATATTAATTTTTTTTTTAATTGATAATCAGTTTATTTATTTTAATAATGGAAAACTTTGTTAACATTAATTAACATAGATTGATTTATTTAAAATAATACATGATATTCTTGTTAATTGAAAAGAAATTAAACGAATTTGCAAAAGAAATTATTAGCAAAACTTTAAGATTGTTATATTGTTGTGTTTAGAACATTGCAAACAAAAATCTTGCCAATATACAGGGTGGCCCATAAGTCACTTTACATTTTAAAAATTAAATAACTTTTTATTAAACGACTGTATTTAATTAATTCTTTTTTTATTACAAAGTTTAGAATCTGTAAGTTAGTTCTGACTTAGTTACGAAAGATAATGTCTCTTAAATAGCCTCCATTCTCGTCTTCACAATGTCGAGCTCTTTTTAAGCTATTCTCCACAACACTTCTTAATATCTGAGGTTGTAGGAAAAGAAATTCCTGTCGTATGTTTGCCTTAAGATCTTGAATGGTTTGGGGCTTATTATTATTACACTTTGTCTTTAAGATATCCCCAAAGCCAAAAGTCTGGTGCTGTCAAATCAGGAGAACGTGGAGGCCATTCAAAATCGAATTTAAGAGAGATTATCTGATCCTGAAACATTGCAGTTAACAACTGCATTGTGGCTCTAGCGGTATGTGCAGTTGCTCCATCTTGTTGCCACTAATACCCTGCCATGTTTGCTAACTGAGGTCGAACAAAATTCGCTAGCATGTCTTGATATTTCTCAGCAGTTACAGTCACAGCATTTTCATTTACATCTTCAAAGAAGAAGGGCACAATAACCTTTTCTGATGTTACTCCACACCATGTTGTGACTTTAACTGAGTGTAATGGACTCGCATGACCTTGGTGTGGATTTTCGGTGCCCCAAAATCTCATATTCTGCTTATTCACATGTCCGTTCAAATGGAAATGAGCTTCATCTCCCATGATCAACTTGTGAATAAACTCATTGTCATTTCTTGCAGTTCTCTGAAACCTGACAGCATAATTTAGTCGTTTCTGAAAATCTAGTGGTTGTAAAGATTGCACTAATTGAATCTTGTAAGGGTACATGTGCAAGTCTCTTTGAATGCGCTGCAGAGAACTCCGTGAAATGCCAAGTTCTTGAGAACGCCTTTGAGTGGATGTGGTTGGGTTCTCTTCAATGCTACGGCTCACAGCTTCAGTATTTTCAAATGTACGTACTGAACGACCTCGTCCACTTTTAGTCCTATCACTTACAGAGCCATGCTCTTAAAAACGCGTCACTAAGTTCATTATTGCAGGCCTACTAGGGAGATGTCGAACATTAAAATGGCGCATATACGATCTTTGCGTTGCAACAATTGACCGTTCATTTTCAAAGTAAAATTCACTTATCTTCACTCGTTCTATTGTAAACGTATCCATACTAAAAATTTCCAAAAATTATATTTTTTAATTCTAAAAAGAGAAATAGAAATAAATTAATAGAAAAAAAGTTATTTAATTTTTAAAATGTAAAGTGACTTATGGGCCACCCTGTACCAGATTGTGAGCTTATTAAATGAAAAGAAAAAAAGTGTTCTGACAAATCTGCTATAAGAAACGCAATCAGCACTGCGATCAACAGAGATAACTTGCTAACACAAACTGGAATCTGTGATATACTGACTGAATATGGGTTTCATGTGTCTCAGTTGTTTGTTTCTAAGCAACTTAAAGTAATGAAAATAACAAAAAAGCGTTTATCAATTTTTTCATTTTGGTTCCACTAGAAAGGAACAATAAAAGAACTATTGTTTTAAGTTTTTTTGTCTTAAAACATGAGAGTTTCATACATCGACATCAAGATTAGTTTTTTTTGAATAAAAAGCGCTTTAACCTCCATACCTTAATTAATTATGGATATTCATCAAAAGTGTTTATTGGTATAACAATTAACACTATTGGTGCACATAAAAAAGCATACATAATGGCTCTGGCTAACAGAGGACAAAATATAAGCTTTATGGCAGCCATTTTACTTATTGGGATCATTGGATACGAGTTAGCAGATGGTGTTTATACTGGTGATTGTTTCTTTGATTTTATAAACACAACACTATATTTTATTTAAAATTGAAATTTTAAAGAATATAAATGAGAGCAACATAGTATACATTTTCTCCCACCAAATAAATCAAATAAAAGAGTTCACGATTTAATAAACTGCTTGGAGTTTTATTAATTGACCGTAAACAATGGTCTTGTAATTACCTAATGGAATGAGTTTAAATTTTTTGATTAGCTTTGATTTATTTACATATTTTCATTTTGAGTCTAAATTTCTTATCTATTATTTGCGTTTAAGTCATTATTAATTTATTTTATTTCTTATTTTAATTTCATATTTTCTCATTTATATTTCCTGATTTATATTTTTTTATTTTTATTTTCTTATTTTAATTTTAATGATGATGATCATGATGTTATCTATCTATCTATCTATTTATCTATCTATCTATCTATATATATATATATATATATATATATATATATATATATATATATATATATATATATATATATATATATATATATATATATATATATATATATATATATATATATATATACATATACATATATATATATATATATATATATATATATATATATATATATATATATATATATATATATATATATATATATATATGTATATATATATGTTACTAATTTAGTATTTTTGTTTTAGTTATTTCGCAACATAAATCGTGTACTGACGCAATACCAAGATGAGAAAAAAGGTCCCACAATGATCCTATTGCAGGCTCAAACAGGTCAGTATTCAAAAAACTTAACTAAAAAGTACTATGTAAATGATAAATGGGTAATTTTATAACTACTGGCTTAGGTGTCTGATGTACATTGTGACATGCATTGTCACAATTATACAACAATCCACTTAGTGTTGTCCTACCTAGTGATAAGCCACCTAGTGTTATTATTGTGTTATCTACTTGTGTTATCATTTCATACTGACAGTTTAGTCAATTTTTTTTTTTTTTTATTGTATGTTATATGAAACAAAATCTGTAAATGGTTGTAGAAATGATTCATTACCTTTAAGAAAAAAAATCAGTTTAACTAAATTGAATTGCTTGAAATTACACGAAACTTTATAGTTTATTCAAGATTGGTCTGTTTTATATCAGCTCAAATTATTGCAATTTGTTTAAATACTAAAGCTGTAATAATCATCAACTTTAGTAAAGTTAAAGTTAGCTTAACTAATAGCACTACTTTTTTTTGTAAATTACTTCTTTGAACATTGTACTTAACCAGAGATTTGAAAATAATTTAAGCGCTCCAAATAACAGCAAATAACAATGATCAGTAATTATTGACTTTTGGAAAATATGATACTCAGAACTCCCAAATCAAATTCAATTGGCTAATCAAAACTCCTAATCAAATTCAATTGGCTAATCAAATTCAATTGTCAAGTCAATCTCGATAATAAAATAAATTTTACTATTTAAAAAAGAATCTTAAAGTTATTAAGTTATTATTAAATTTAAAAATAATTGCTGAATTAAACATAGTTTTAAGGTCATAACAATAATAATAATAATAGTTCACAATAAATACAGTAATTTAAAAAAACTACAAAATTTATATTAAATGAGCAAAAAAAAAACTGAATAATATGAAAACTGAATGTTTTTGATTGGTGGAATAACAAAGTTGATTTTGTAACAGTCTTCGGTTTGAAAGTTTATTAACTGTCAATAAATTTTTATGAAAAGCATATTCTTTTGAATAAAATGAATAAATAATTATAAATGTTAACACGTCTGAAAAATAATAAATAAAGCAAGTTTATGATTGGTT